GTAGTTTACACATCCAAACACCAATATAGATCTTGTTTACCTTATCAATGTAAAGAATTCTCTAAAATAAAAATAGAGGTAAGCTCTCTAGTTTGGTGGCCTCACATTCTTTTTTCTAATATTGGCAGCCATTGATACTTAATGCCTATTTTTATTAATTTATTTGAGGTTGCCAAATGGTAATATCCTATCATTTCTTCTTATCAACTAGAATATTTTTATAAAGAGACCATTTTACTATTTGGTTACCCAGTGATACAGGAAAGGTAGAACAAAATGCTTTCTTAACTTTAATCAGTTTTCAAGATTAGGAATAGTCCCTATCACCTTTGGAAGGGGACCCTTTTTCTTAAAGTATCTGAACTCAAGGATTTAAGCATATTTGATGGGTTTTAATACACTGGATTATTATTATTGAGGCTCAAATTGTACCTCTTGGGGACAACGCAAGCCTCTTCCAGTTGTCTCTTCAAATCCTTTGACATGTCTCTAGTAGTTGTCTGGTAGCATCTGGTAGCATGTCTCTGGTAGCATCTTTGCTATATGGTATGACAAGAGTTTCCAGGACCATCTAGAAAACTTCCCATCTGGCCTAGAATCTGCCATTTCTCCAAGAAATTCCAATTTCTTTTAATAAGTAAGGTATTTCAAGACCATAACCTGGGCACTAAGGGTATATTTTGCTACTAGATTGATCATTGTTTCTAGGGCTGTTCCATGGACAGAGGGATAGAGGTAGGAAATTTACACACATGCAATGTGTGTATCATAAATTCATATTGATGTTTTCGATTAAAATTCAAGGCAACTTTTTTGCCTTTTCGTTCTTCAGGTAACTATATTTAATGTTCATCACTGGTCCTCGTGTTGATGTCTTCCCTAACCATTTTGTCTGAAGCTCATTCTCAAGTAGACTCCTCGAGGAAGTGCTCAAAGAAACAATATTCCCTGAATTCTTGCACACTGAGAACAGTTTATCAGCTTACAGATTATACTCAAAAGTCAGTTCAGTTTCATGTTACTCCAGTTTCTTCTAGCACATAACTGTGATGGAAACCTAATTTTCTTTTCTTTACAAGTCGTGTGTTCTTTTCTTCTAACTGAAGTTTTCTTGTTTTTTTCTTTTTCTTTAAAGTCCAGTAACTTCAACATGTCTTGGCATTGATCATCTGAATCAAATTTCTTAGGCACATGTTATATTCTTTGAACATGCAGCTCCAAAAAACTTTTTTTTAATTTCAGGAAAGTTTTAATTATATTTATAAATATATTTTTAAGAATAAAAAAGCATGTTGAAAGAATATATTTATATAAAATATATATTTATAAATATAATTTATGTTTGTATATTATATACAAATAAATTATATTTATTTATAAATAAGTATTGTTATGTTGCTTTGATTTCCTTTTTCAGAAACCCCTATTATTTGTCTTTCTTATGACTGTCTCTTGAAACTTTATCTTTTAAAATGTCTTCTTTACACTTGTGTTTTCTCATGGCCTCATTTGCTCTTGCCTTGCTGTTATTTTAAACTTCATTGCTGAAATAATTATTTATGTCTAATTTTCCCTAGGTTCTGTCCCCTTATTGTGAATTTTCACACTTAATTTAGTTTGTTCTTTCATGTCTTATGCATTTTCTTAGTTCCTTTTTGCTCATTTTGAAATAGTATGTTTTGGTCTGTTTTGTGTACATGTTTTTATTACAAGCATTAATTGTAGGGAATGTTCTTTAGTTCCTTTTTTCCCCTCATGATAACTTTGTATGCTATTTAACTTTGATATTTTTCTGTTGCTCATTTTTATGTAAATTTAATTTTCCTGAACTTTTAGAGGGAAGGGTTCAGGAAAGCTTTAACTTCACAGAGCTCTCTCGTCTGCTGTTTTGGGATAGGATAAAAATTGGGGGGCGGGGTGTTGATTGGTGGTTTGTTTCCTAAGATTTCTTGACTCTGTAACCCTACCTCACTTTTATGTGGACCTTTTTCTTTTATCTCTACTGTCCCTTTTCTAATAAAATTTTATCACACTCCCAGCAGTTTCTCCTTAGACTAAGCTCTGCCTTAGAATGGTGCCTTGGCAAATCAGTTTTAAAAGTTCTAGGAGGTAGACTGCTCCTGACCATTAAAGCTCCTCAGTTACAGCTACTGTTATCTCATTGGCCCTCACAGTCTTTCAGTAAATATTCTGGAGTTCCATTCTCAGGTAAACCAGATGTTGCACCATTGCTTCTTTCTTCCTGGCAAAGATGACAATACTAATTGTGTCTAAAGGCTCTTGGTAGATTGTCCCCACTTCGTATTTTGGGGTTTGTAGGGATACTCTGTTACATGGTTTTGTTGTAATTGTTCTATGTATTTTAAATGTTGCTAATTACTTTCTGCTTTTATGTAAGTATTCAGAAACCAAAAACTATGTTACTATTAACCACCAACAAATTTCCAGAACACAACCCTCCACCAAACTTCTTCCCAGCCCCCTCCCCACAGGACTAGCTATTGGACCATTGTGACTCACTCAAGCATTCACATCTTTCAAGCGCTGCTTGAGAGAGTAGCGTGGTAACCCCATCGTAACATCTGCTTTTGCTGTTGTTAAGTACCAGTATCAAACAGTACTGAAAGACATCACTTTGATAGACCAAGTTTAAACCCATCTTTAGTGTTCAAATCATAAAGCTACCTTAAAGATATTACTTTTGTCCTTTAGTAACAAAATTCTTAGGATGGAGAAAATCAGATATTTTCACCAAACCAAATTCTACACCAAAGACTACAAAGTAAAAAATATTACTAAACAAATTACGTATTATCAAGTGAGTCTGAATAACAATCGCTTTTTTTTTCACTTGAGAAAGTGCATGATGTGTGGCAGGTACAAACAAGTTTTCTGAAAGACCACGAAAAGCCAAAGTTCACAATGTAGTACTCTCCATTTCTGCAATGCACAAGTAACCTTTCTTTACCCTCTTCTCTGGAAATAAATATTTTCCTAAATGTAACTCAACCCATGTTTCAAGTAAATGAAAGATAAACTACCGTTTTGGAAATTTTGAAAGCTTTTCCTTATATATGAAATGATTGTAATCCAACAACAGAAAAATTCTTTCAGGAAGTTTAACCCTACCTTCATGCTTATGGTATTTTTAAAAAAGATTAAACTATATGTAGAGAGCACGATGTTGTTCCCTATATTGGTACCCCTCCACTATAAATACAATGCTATCCATCACAAATCATTCAATTAGCTATACACATTTCAAAACTATTTTCTGTAAAATATAAAACGGACAAAAGGTCTACAAATATTAAATGTGACAAACACTAACCTATCACCCAAAGTCTAGCAGTTAGATAACTGCTTTCTATTATCTTTCCACAGTTCCAATGTATTATTAGTGCTCTAACAATCTCAACCAATCTATTTCTCTCTCACAATGAACAATCTAAATAACGCGCCCTGCTTCAAGTGTACTCTTGTTCTTTTGCCATGGGAGAATGGTACTGTCATCCGAACAGAAAAAGGGCAACAAAAGGTACGACAAACGGGAACCAGCAGCTACGCCCGGAAGCCCGCCCAGGCATTCCGGCGGGTGCGAAAGGTTCCTCCGGAAGTAAACACCTACGACTGCGCAGGCGGTGCCAGCGGCGAGTCCGCTGTCTGCGCTGCGGAAGGGGCTGGCAGGTCTTGGAGGACTTGCTCCCCGGCTTGCGACCTCTAGAGGGGAAAGCGCACCCTGCAGCTCCAGGAGGACTGCGCGCTCACTCGAGCTGGCCTCCCCAGGACTGAGTATCGGGATCGCAGCAGGCTCTGTCGGCTGGGAGCCGTCACAACCGCCACGGTCAACGGAGCTCGGTCGCAGAAGCGCCACATGTCTTCGCCCCCACCCAGATCGTTGGGTGTTCTCAAACCTTCGGTCCCCTCCTTAGCCTCTTATCCGTCGATGACGAGCAGGAGGCGGAGACCGGAAAACCCCGTTTCTGGGCGGAGAGGGCCACGAAGCCCAGGTCGTCGGTCTTCTAACCGCAAGCCCTCGCTCACCCACCTGATGCTCTTTCACCACTTCGCTGAGGCAAGGGTACCGCTCCGAAATCCATCGGTAAAACTTGGGGACTCCCATCTCCACTGTCAACACTAACTCCACCAAACCGAAACCAAACGCCCCGCCGGGCCCTACGCCGCCCACGCCACCGCCGGCCGTCGCTCTGCTGATGACAACACACAGCCTGCCCGACCATAGAGAGTGCCCGCCTGATCTAGAGTGGCTGGCCCGAGGCCGCGTCTGGGACGGGGCTCCAAATGCCCCCCCCCCCCCACGCGCTCTTGTTTGGGAGCGCTCAGGCAGCTGTGACGAATGTGATGCTTAGTTCTTTTTTCAAAGCATGTTTTTGTATATTTCTCGTTACCATTTATCCCCTTTTATACTCGCCTCTTCCTCGTAATAGCCGACACTTGGTTCTGAAAACCACCAGGCTTCTTAAAGACTATTACTGAACACTGAATTTTGTCTTGTTTGCTGTATTCTCCCAGGGTGCTCATCTAAGTATCTTTTTCAACAGATTTATTGGTTTAGTTTTTCCTGGTTGAGAGTGAGGGTTGTTTTTTTTTTTCTCTTTGAGGGATACATACGTACAACAAAGTTTCTTTTAAAGAACACTCTTTAACATGTTATTTATTGAAAGAAATTTCCTAACTCCCTCCACCCCAACCCAGCCTCCTCCTCAACTTTTTAATACAGTATTAGGCCTTCAATTGTAAATTGTTTGGTTTTCACGTTCATACCTCTTGGTTTTTATCCTGTTTTCCCCATCACACTTTCAACCGTGCAAAAAAAGAACTGTCCCAAGTGAACTTAAGAGAAGTCATCTGTCATAAAAGTTTCCCATTTATTTGAATGTAATAACCTCATTGCTTTGTAATTATTGTGAACTATTTTAAATTCTCTGCAAAAAAAAACAACGAAAAAATTTAACCACGTGAAACATTTTTTAGATTTTAAAATCTCACGAAACTTTAAGTATTACTGTCTTCCAAGATTAAACATTCTGGTACGCTTTCAGTTGGCAGCATTTTTAAAATTACGGAATGTTTGTTTTTTTCATATGCATGTTTTTTGTCTTATGTTTTTTTCCAGATCACACAATGCAACCATATAAAAAAGGAGTTTTATTAAGTGAACATAATGACATGCTATTTATGTTTATACCTCTGGATTGTCAGTTCTTAGAAGGCAGGGGAAATAAGCTCTGTACACAAATCCAGCAGTGTTTTGTTCCACAGAATTTATTCAATGTAATTTTTTGTTGTTCAAATGAATCCTTATGCTAACAAGTACTTAAAAACTAAAAGCTGTAAAATGATGTAAGTCTGGCTTACCGCCTGCAAATACATATTTTTATTTCTTTCAACATTTTATTTATTTTTACATAGAAGGGAAAGAGAGGGAGAGAAACATCAATATGTAGTTGCCACTAGAGCACCCCCTACTGGGGACATGACACGGCCCACAACCCAAGAATGTGCCCTGACTGGGAATCAGACTGGTGACCCTTTGGTTCACAGGCTGGTGCTCAATCCACTGAGCCACACCAGCCAGGGCTATATGTGTTTTTAGAGCATAAGAACATTTCATGTTCTATTTTTCTAGTGGTTATAATACACAGTAGATAGTGAGGAAAGCACTTTATTTCATAACAAATATTAACAATCAGGGAGAAATAATACATTGTTCTGAGAACATAAAGCAACTTATATTGTACTATATTTTGGAATTGAATATATAAAAACAGATAAATTATGAAATGTTAATTTTAGATTAACATATTCTTTGAAGTAATTTCACATATATGGGGTCCAACCAAGGTACATTTGGCATAGTAAGTTTTCATCAGTAGCTTCTTGTATAAGGTAATGTACATGTCCTTCAATAGATAAGGGCAGCCCTGTCACTCTATTACGGGTCTTGATTACACCTTGCAGTCGCTGCTCGATATCAAGAACATGGGTCTTGGCCTACAAGAAAAAAATTGAAAATCATAAGACATAAAGACCTAATGCCATGTGCATGTTGATAATTTGGAATTACTATCTTTCTGTTATTTAACAAATGTGAATGCCATTTTACTGACCCCATTTGTAAGAGCAAATACAAAAGAAATGAAACAAGTATAATGAGATTGATTTGAAGGCCTGCAATGCTGATCCAACATCAACTATTTAGGCATTTTTCTGGACTTCGTGAAATAGGGAATATTAGTAGGGAGTGAATTCTTTTTTTTTTTACAGTGTTGATAGAAGAAATCATTTTTAATGTGTACTGACATACTCAGGATCTGAGTGAATATGTTTGCTGCTACTTAACAATCCCCAGCTGTTAGTCCCTTAGTTTTGTTTCAAAGTGGTCTTTTCAACTTTGTTTCCTGTTTGCCTACCAGTGACACCTGTTGTAGACTCACCACCCGTTGTACTGTAACGGACTACATGTCAGTGGTGTAAGTCAATTTACCATGTCTTAATTTAACCTTTGTAAATCTTTCAATTTTAAGTGCTTAAATAAGTAATATATTACAATAAAAATACAGTCATCCCTCACTATATCACGGTTCACTTATTGCGACTTCACTGTATCAAGGGTTAAACCCAGGACTGCATACTTCACTGGTGAATACCCATATAGAATTTTATGTGTTGTTAAAATTACGTAGGTTTAAGAGTGTAGAAAGTGTTTAAGAGCATATGAAGTGTTCATAAGAGTGTGGGAAAGTTTAATACGAGAGTGGGAAAGGTTAATAAGAGAGTGGGAAAGGTTTATAGGAGTGTGAGAAGGGTTTATAAAGCCTTAAAATATATATAAATAATAAAATAAATATAACACCACTACGAGGATTTTCATCTATCTCAGGGGTCTCTGGAATGTAACACCCGCGATAGGTGAGGGATCACTGTATAGCGATATAATTAACCAGCCAAAAATTTACTTCTACAGAGTGTTAACTGAGTTCATATATTAGATACTTACATATTTCTTATGATGATTGTAAAATTAGAGCAATTAAAATGTTAAAGCTGAGACCTGCTGCTCTGTAAGTTACACAATTTGTGTTCAAGTTTTTCCCACTCATAAATGTAGCTGTCTATGGTTTAAACAAGTGTGTCCTCAGTTCTCTTGGTACATAAATGATAATAATGTTAACATGAGTAATGACAATAAAGAAAAGTTGGGCATTGATGTACTAGAGAACTAAATTTCAGAGTATTCAATAGTCAGCCACTGATAGTATTTAGAATCAGTTCTCATTGGTAGAGATATACAGTATCAGTTCATATCAATCTACACCTTCTACTAACCTTTTCATTGACAACTTCCCCAGTTTCATTCAGTAGTACTTTGGAATGTCCTTTCACCGGTTTACTCCATTCCACAAGAGGATCATGAAGAAAAGTCTTTAAGACACTTAAAAGGAAAGAAAATATTATAGTAACAATACAATGTTAACTTTGTAAAAAGAAATCTTGGTGAAGTTGACACAAGTAAAGAATAAGTGAAGGATGAGAAGCTAATGGTAATACTCTTAACAACACATTATTACTGTTTCAGTAAAATATATGAAATTATTATTTGGGGATGACAGAAGGGAGAGGAAAGAGGTGGGAGGGAAGAGACAAGATGGGGGAGGTCAGAGATTCTTGGGAGTAGAGTACAATGTTCTGTGTGCCATCTCTGAAAGCACAGTGTAAACTAGTTAATGACTATTTATTGAATGAGTAAATTTCGTCCTCTGCCACATCTCCACAATGACCAGAAAATAACCAATAGCTACCATATGGACAGACCCCAGCACATTATTTTTCTACTGTGCTCTACATGTCAGATCCATGTAAAAACCCACTTAGATACCTTATAGACAACTTAAATTCAATATTTTCATAACAAAACTCATGATTTTTCCCCAACTATTTCCCTTTTGATCAGTAAGGAACATCATCCATCCACTGGCCCTGAACAAAAAATTAGGAGTCATCCTTGCCTCCTCTTCTTCTAAACACTTAATTCTACTTTCTAAAACTCTTTATAATATCTCCACTTATCTCCATCTTGGCTGTCACTACCTCATTCAGTGCACCATCACTGTTTGCCTCAGTTTCTGCAATAGTACTCTTCACTAGTTTTCTGGCCTCTCACCCAAAATGGAATTAATTTTTCTACAGTGCAAATCCGATGATCTCATTTCCTCTTCTTTTTTTATTTTCTTCTTAAAACTCTCCAATGACCTCTGGTTGTTCTCAGGACAAAGTTTAAATGTGTAAACTGGCCTTATGTGGACCTTTCATAATCTAGCTCTGCCTCTCCTCCTAGGAATAAAGTACTTGAAATCTATCCTCTAGGATACAGGATTGCATTTCTCAGGCAGGCCATGCCTTCAATAGCATTGATATTTCTATGACTTAGAACACTCTTTTCCCTTTTACATGACCAGTTCTGTGTATCTTGAAGGTCTCAGCTACTTGTTCCAGAAATTATTTCCTGACTTCTTTTAGACTAGGATAGGTGCTCCTAGTTAAGTGTTTCACAAGATGCTATATTTCCTCTTTCAGAGAATTTGCTTTTGCTTATTATGTCTAACTAACCAATGCATTCTATGATAATGTTTGATAGACAGCTTTTAAATAAGAAGGTGAATAAAGGAGCCTTTTAAGTCCTTTTTAAAAACTACAGTTGACCCTTGAAACAATGTGGGTTTGAACTATGTGGGTTCACTTATATAAGGATTTTTAAATAAGTATGTACAGTACTGTAAATTTTCTCTTATTAGTAACATTTTTTCTCTGCTTTACATTATTATAAGAATACAGTATATAATGCATATGCAAAATATAGGTTAATGGAACATTTATGTTCTCCAGTAACATTAGATGGAGAAAAATAATCCTTTTAAAAAATGCTGCTGGGACAATAGGATGGGCATATTCAAAAGAATAAATATGGACCCCTACACCTCACACTAGATAGAAAAAATAACTGAAAATGACCAAGGATTTAAATATGAGAGCTAAAACTATAAAACACTTAGGAGAAAACATAGGTGTAACTCTTGATGACTTCGGATTATACAATAGTTTCTTAGATATGACAGCAAAAGCACAAATAATAACAAAAAAAATTGGGGAGTTCTGGCCAAGATGGAGGTGTAGGTAGAAATCCTTCGCTTCCTTGCACAACCAAAAGGAGGATAACCAATCTAAAATCAATAAACAACCAGAAGTGCCAGAAAATTAAACTGCATGGAGCTCCCACAACCACGGAATAAAAGAAACAGTACAACGGAACAACCAGACCTAAAAGGCAGTGGATGGAGAGAACCCACAGTGAGGCGGTGGAGAGAGGATAGGGCTGGCTGCAGCAAGGTGGCGGGCTGCGTGAGCGGGGCTGACTTAAGGGGAAACTGAGACTCAGACCCAGCTGCGGACTATGGCAGTTGCTGCAGTGGGAGAAACTCCCAGTCTCACATGAGAGTTTGTGGAAAGTGGACTAGAGACCAGCAAGTGAGCTGTACTGTTCCTCCTCTGGCCCCGCCCCCACAGGCAGCACCACAGCGTGGCATGGAGGTTGCCCAGCCTGGGTGACTACCAAAGTCCCTGCCCCCTTACAACTTAACAGGTGCCCCAAACAAAGAAATTGGGCCAAAATGAAAGAACAAAGCAAAACTTCAGAAAGAGAGCTAAGTGAGGAGGAGATAGCCAATCTATCTGATGGAGAATTTAAAGCCTTGGTAATCAAAATGCTCACAGAATTGACTGAGCTTGATCAAAAAAATGAAAGAACAAATGAAAGATACCCAAAATGAAATAAAGCAAAATATTCAGGGAACCAATAGTGACAGGAAGGAAACCAGGACTCATATCAATGATTTGGAACAAAAGGAAGAAATAAACATCCAACTGGAAGAGAATGAAGAAACAAGAATCAAAAAAAAAAAAAAATCAAGAAAGGCTTAGGAACCTCTGGGACAACTTGAAACATTCCAATATCTGAATTATAGGGATGCCAGAAAGAGAAGAACAACAGCAAGAAATTGAAAACTTATTTGAACAAATAATGAAGGAAAACTTCCCCAGTGTGGTGAAGAAAATAGACTTTTAGGAAGTCCAGGAAGCCCAGAGAGTCCCAAAGAAGTTGGACCCAAAGAGGAACACACCAAGGCACATCATCATTAAGTAACCCAAGATTAAAGACAAAGAAAGAATCTTAAAAGCAGCAAGAGGAAAGGAGACATTTAACTACAAAGGAGTTCCCATAAGGCTATCAGCTGATTTCTCAAAAGAAACCTTGTAGACAAGAAGGGGCTGTAAAGAAGTTTTTGAAGCCATGAAAGGCAAGGACCTACATCCAAGATTACTCTATCCAGCAAAGCTATCGTTTAGAATGGAAGGGCAGATAAAGTACTCCCCAGACAAGGTCAAGTTAAAGGAGTTCATTCATCATCACCAAGCCATTATTACATGAAATGTTAAAGAGACTCGTTTAAGAAAAAGAAGATAAAAAATACAAACTCACAACTATCAACAAGTGAACCTAAAACATAAAGAAAGAAAAACAACAAAAACTAAGCAAACAACTAGCACAGGAACAGAATCAGAGAAATGGATATCACATGGAGGGTTTTCATTAGGGAGGAGGATGGGAGGAACAAGGGGGAAAGGCACAGGGAAGACGAAGCATAATTAGCAGGCATTAAATAGATGGGAAGAGGTCAAAAATGGTACAGGAAACAGAGAACTCAAATAACTTCTATGTACAACCCATGGACATGAACTAAGGTAGGGGGAATACTGGAGGGTTGAGGGGTACAAGGTGGAGGGGAGATAAAGGGGGAAAACTGGAAAAGCTGTAATAGCATAATCAATAAAATTACTTTCAAAAAATAAATAATTGGAATTTATCAAAAATAAAACTTGTATGCTTCAAAGGACATCATCATCAAAAAAGGGAAAAGACAACCCATATATGAGAGAAAATATTTGAAAATCATCTCGTAAGGTCTAGTATCTACCTAGGTAAAGAACTCTTACAACTTAACAATAAAAAGACAAATAATCCAATTTAAAATGGGATTTGAATAGACATTTGTCCAAAGAAGATACACAACTGACCAACATGACATAGGGAAAGATGTTCGTCATCACTGCTCATTAGGGAAATGCAAATTAAACTCACAATGATGCATAGGTGGAAGCTACACATGGTTTTCTTGGGCAAATCCCTGATTTGTCTGTTGTGTCCTGTCAGTAGGTGGCAATACTTGGTGTCAGATGGTTCCAGTCCCAAGTCTGGGTGGGACTCCCCGACACTTGAAGACTCCGGCCATGCCTGGGCAAGGCACACAGAAACTAGTACCAGCCAAGGAATATCAAATGCAAGCACAAGCACAGCTTAATCAAGCAACAGAGCACACAGACCTGTGCCCAACCCCGCTGCCTGCCCCTATTGAAGCATTTCCCTAGCCTCACACTGTTACTGTGGGGAGGTTGGGTAGGAGTCTGGGGTTGGAATGGAAGAGGAAGTGGGAAGTTAGACCCTGCCAGGTCCCTTTTTGCACTCTTAAATTGGGAAGAATTTCAAACATATGGCAACAGTCCACACAGCAGTACAGTGAAACTCCTGCTCCGATCATGTACCCACCCATTTCTGACCACCAATTACCCAGGACCCATCCTGTCCCCTTCCACGTGTTTTTAAAGCAAATCTCAGGCATCCTCTGTATCTGAGGATGCATCCGTCCAAAATAAGGGCCCTTTAAAACACAATCACAAAACTTTTTAAACAGAAAAAGTCAACAATTGTGTAATATCATTACATGTCTGGTAAATATTAAAAAAAACCCACAATGAGATACCACTTCACGCCGACAGGACAGAAAATTAAAAAGACACACAATCAAGTGTTGGTAAGGATGTGGAGATATTGGAGCTCGAAGACATTGCTAGTAGGACTGTAAACTATTATAGCTGCTTTGGAAAACAGTTTGAAAGTTCCTCAAAATGTTAAACTTAAGAGTTTACATAGGACCCAGTAATTCTACTCCAAGGTATATCCAAAAGAACTAAAAACACATATCCACATAAAACTTACATGCAAAAGTTCATAGCCACACTATTCACAATAGTCAAAAGGTGGAGATAATCCAAATGTTGATGAACTGATGAATGGATAAACAAAATGTGGTATCCATACTATGAAATATTACTTGGCAATAAAAAAATGAAGTATTGATACATACTACAGCATGGATAAACCTTAAAAAACATCACACTAACTTAAAGAAAACAGATACAAAAGGCCCCATGTTGTACGATCCCATTTATATATGAAATGTCCAGGACAGGCAAATCCACGGAGACAGAAAGTAGATTAGTAGTTGCTAGGGTGTGGTCAGAGAGTAAGGATGGGAAATGACTGCTAATTTCTTTTGGGGGTAATGAAATGTTTTATAAATAGATAGCAATGATGGTTGTATTACAATTAGACAGCAGTGATAATTGCACAATCCTGTGAATGAACTACAAACCACTGTACTTACACTTTAAAAGAGTGAATTTTATGATACATAAATGTTATGGGCCCTGGCTGGTATGGCTCAGTAGATTAGTGCCAGCCTACGAATCAAAGGGTCACAGTTCAATTCCCATTCAGAGAACACACCTGGGTTTGTGGGCCAGGTCCCTAGTGTGGGGTGTGTGAGAGACAACCACACATTGATGTTTCTCTCTCCCTCTTTCTACCTCCCTTCCCCTTTGTCTAAAAATAAATAAAAATCTTTTAAAAAACCACATATTAAACAGTAAATAAATTTTATGATATGTAAATTATATAAAGCTATTATTTTAAACAATCTATTTTAACCAATGCAAAGTGGCTTCTATATAAAGTAAACATACTTAGGAACAATAACTGCATTCAAAGTTACTATAAATTATTTACAAAATACAAATGATTACCTCATTAAAGGCTCTCTCTGATCTCGCATCAGCCTCATTGTAACTTCACAAGCTCTTCGAAAAAGACCTTCTGTTCCCATTGGACCCATTCCATTAACCATATTATGAGTCAGGCGAAATGGAACAATTTCTGGAACTTCAAAGGTTTCTCCCTTAAAACAATGCATTTTATTAAAAAGTAATAATGTTAGAATTTTTAAATGTTTATGCAAAAAATTTAAAACTTTGCCCTGGCTGGCATAGCTCAGTGGATTGAGCGCGGGCTGGGAACCAAAGTGTCCCAGGTTTGATTCCCAGCCAGGGTACATGCCTGGGTTGCAGGCCATAACCCCCAGCAACCGCACATTGATGTTTCTCTTTCTCTCTCTTTCTCTCTCTCTCTCTCTCTCTCTCTCTCTCTCTCTCTCTCTCTCTTTCCCTCCCTTCCCTCTCTAAAAATAAATAAATAAAATCTTTTTAAAAAATTGCTTTAAAAAAAAATTTTAAACTTCATGTCTAGACTCATTTAGCAAAGAGCACACATACTGTCAAAATATATATTGATATTTGTAACTATTTTTGAAGACTGTATCATAAAGGATCTATATGACTCTACCTTTACTTGACTTGGATAAGACCTAGAGGATGAATGGACTCACCTTTTATTGAATTACTATGCTAAACAGCAGTATAGAGAAATTTTTATGCATTCAATATTTAGTTTTATTTAGCTTCCTTAATGTCCTTCCTTGAATAATACAAAGTACATGCAAATATTATCACATTTTCTTCTTGTCTTTAAGACTTTCACTTAAAACAGCAAAGGAAAAGATATAGCCAAGTATGAGATGTTCACATCCCTCAGACAGGAAATGTAACATGAAATATAATGAAATCCATCCAGTTCATTTATTTTTTGTCATTTTCTAACCTGCCTTTCCTAGGACTTTCTCATCCCTCCAGTTTTCTGAAATTCCTCTCTTAAGTAATTTAACCTATGCCAGTGGTTTATCTTTGATTTGTTCTCAGTTTGGTCTGTGACCTTTCTTCATTTCTTGTGATAACTGGAGGCAACCCCATTGAGAATGATGACAAAGAAAAAAGTGGTTTTACCTGACAGTCTGCTTTCCAGGATCACAACACTGAAAAATTGGAGGAGGTCTTAGGGAGAGTCCAACTACCTTAATTTATTCCCAGGCCCCACTTTAGACCTACAGAATCTGAATCCCCTGGGATGTTTCCTAGGTATCTGCAATATTATGAAAACTCTTAAGATGATTCTAATATGCTGATAGGTTTGGAAACCATCATAGCAAACTACTTTATTTCTCTAAAAATGAGTCTCAATAAAATCAACTGCTCTGTCCATGTTAATATAACTAAGAACTAACTGAATCAGAACTTGAACCTATGTTTTCAGAATTAAGTTCAGTGCTAGTTTTATTATATTACTCTTTTGAGTTCTATCCATCCTAAGTTCTTATACTGAGGGCAATGGGAAATGTGACTCAACTGTAAATGTAACTGCTACTAATGGGTATGTCTAGAAGAACAGTTGTTGGAGAAGGAAGATTAGCAGAAAACATACAATTAACTAAAGTAAGTCACATCACATACCTTATTGAAGAGACAGTTGAAATCCACATGTACACATTCTCCAGTCAAAGAATCAAAGAGAATGTTTTCACCATGACGATCTCCAAGGCCCAGGATATAACCAACCATTGACATAACTGCAGTGGAACGGCAATATGCTGATCTGCTACTGTACCTAAAACAAATTCAATGCCTATCAAATATCCTCATGCATATCAGTCAACACATTTAAAATAATTCTTCAATTCCAACCATAATAATGTATTATAATCTTGGTAATTTACCATGATGTTGGATCAGGGAATGTTCTCAGAAACCACTCATGAAAAACAGGAGGATGCCTGGGCAGGAGAAATTCTTGAAATACTTTGAGTTTTTCAGACAAAGCTGCCGTCTTTGGTAGCATACATTGGCGAAGTTCCTTACCTGTCATATAAACTCCTGCAAGGTAGAGTGATTTCCATTAATCACAAAAGCCAAATGAGGAAAGGGACATTTGTTGTTGCTGTTGTTATTGTTTTTGTGGTTAAAATAGGACAGGAAGTGTCTACTTTTACTCAAATTGGTATTCAAAAGCAAAAATAGAAAAATTTCAATTATGCATATGTAAATTTATCTCCTTGTTGATTATAATTAATGTCAACTAAAACCAATGTTTGGAATCAAACAACACCAGAAGATAGCACTCAGAATAAGTCCAATGTGAGTGCTGTATCCCTCACTGAAATTACAGTGACCTCTCTGTTAGTCAGGACATAGTACAGGTCCACACTGGATCATTACTATGAAACTTACTGTGGTGCTCTGAAATAATTTAGTCTCACAAAAGCTAGTCTACAAGATTCACCTGGTTCTTAAATTATTATCTTGCACAATGCAAATCATCTGGGGAAGTAGAGGAACTTTTCCTTGATATATATTTATGAGCCACATCTGATGACTGGTCTGACTCTAATCTATCAAATGCCTTTTAGGCCTACCTTGGTTTGGTGCTTTTTATACCTAAGGCACTGCTAAAACTTTTATGGACAAATTTGCAATTTGAAGTTCTTAGAGTCAAATGTTGCATAGTTCAACTGTGTGTTCATGATAAGGTAAAAAATATATATATATTTTAAAATCCAATAACAGTAACTAAAACTTATACAATGTTTCATCTTTCTAAATAAAATAGTCAACAGCAAGTTCCTTGAAATCAGGTTCAAATATGTTTGAACTGTAGTTCTGCAACATACTAGCTATGCGAACTAGATAAATTACTTAACCTCTCTGGCACTGTTCATAAAGAAGGTATAATTAGGCTTGTTAACATTAACAAATATCATATAATGTATGTGTCATACTTAGCACAATACCTATAAGACAGTAATTTATCAATTTTACTTAATGTTATGGATTAAGTTGTATTCCACCAAAATATTTTGAAGTCTTAACCTCTGATACCTATGAATGTCACCCTATTTGAAAATAGGGTGTTTGTCCATGTCATCAGGTTAAGATGAAGTCATTAGGGTGGGCCCTAAATATAATAATATGACTGATATCTTTATAAGAGAGAAAAGACACAGACATAGGGAGCATGCTATGATAACTGAGGCAGAGAATGGGCTGATACGTCTATAAATCAAAAAACATCAAAAGTTGCTGGCAACACCAGAGGAAAAAGATTTAGAACAGATTCTCTCCTAGGGTCTTCAGAGATAAAGTGGTCCTACTGACATTGTGATTTTGGACTCCTAAGCCTCCAGAGCTGGGACAGAATAAATTTCCATTGTTTATAATCAATTTGTAGGACTTTGTTACAGCACCCCTAGAAAAGTAATATATTTACTTTCTCCTTCACTCTAATAAATTAATATATATTTTAATGTATTGCATCTCATACATTTAATAACAATTTAGAAATAATTTTAGAATTATAAAAATTGCATAAATGATATAGAGTTCTCATATATTCATCACCCAGATTTTTTATTGTTTGTCTTTCTCACAGCAGTAGTACAATTACCTAAATCAGAAAATTAATTTGTTATAATATTATTAATTAACCTTTAGACCTTATTCAAATTTCACCAATTGTCCTACTACCACACTTCTTCCTAGGTCAGGATCCTATCCAGGATACCATATTGCATTCGCCTCCATAATGTTCTCAAATCTGGGAAATTTCTGTCTTTGTCTTTCATTATGTTGACATTTTTAAAGTGTCCTGAGCAATTGTTTTTGTTTTTACACTGTAAAGTTACTATTTCTCACTTTGTCCTTAATAAACTATTTTGCAGGATATACATTGAGACTCTGTAAATAACCTGTTTCCTGTCATACTTTCCCTATTAATTTCAGCATCCATTGAGATTCACTGCCTGCAATTATATACTATGGCATTTACTAATTGGTAATTTTCTATTTCCATCTTTATCTTCTATATTTATTCATTGCAATTCTACTGTATAGAAGAACTGTTCATACTTCCTTATTTACTCATTTGTTTACATTGCTATGGATTTGTAATCTAACACTATCATCTATTTTTGGTGCTCATATTATCTCAGGTTTAGTCTGTGGTAGGCTCCACTTCTAATCTAATACTTTCAGTTTCATTCTAGCCTCCCCTTTCCTTTTGTTTTTCTGACACTGAAAAGCTAGCTCCCATTAGCCACAACCTACTTACTTGTTTGCTAAAGTCTAGTCCACACATAAAGTAGTTTCAAAATTGCTAACTAGTAACTCTGTGAAAAACACATTTTCATATACATTTTTGCAAGCTACCTCCATCCTTTTGGGATGAAGTTAAAAAAGGAATTAAAACACAAGGAATACAAGAAGGGAGGGAGGGAAGCAGGAAGGACACATAAGTACTTCTGTATATAGAATCTCATTTGAACAGAAATTTCATCATGGTTTATACCAAGAAAATGTACAATGACATATGTTAATAACAAATACATCCTTATTATACAAGGTCTGTCCAGAAGAAGTCCAACCATTATTAATATAATGAGAACAGTTTGCATGACATTGATGTAACCTGGCAGCCAAGGAGAATGGCCTGGAATGCATGTGCATGAATAATAACGACCTCACTGTACTAGTCAGTGGGAATGGTAGACACCTTTGAGTCAGCAGGTGGGCTGTGTGGCCATCACATTCACAATGACTGAGCAAGTAGAGCAACAAATCTGCATCAAATTTTGCATTAACCTTGAACATTCCTCCATGGAAACTATTCAGATGATTCAGAAGGTCGCAGCTCTTGGGCAACTGGTGATTGGCAGCTTCATTATGACAGTGCACCTGCTCATGCATCACATCTCATGCAGAGTTTTTTGGCAAAACATCAGATCACTCAGGTGACTCAGCCCCCTTACTGTCCAGATGTGCCCTGTGACTTCTGGCTTTTCTGAAAACTAAAATCACATTTGAAAGGGAAGAGATTCCAGACCATTGATGAGATTCAGGGAAATATGACAGGGCAGGTGATGGCTGTGGGAGGTCCCAAGGTGCCTACTTTGAAGGGAGCTGAGACATCATTGCCCTGTGTACAACGTTTCTTATACCTTATATCTTCTTCAATAAATGTGTCTATTTTTCATAGTACATGGCTGGATACCTTCTGGACAGGCCTGGTATATGTTAGCAGCTATTATATGCATATTACTTATTTATATTGTAAAAATTAATTTTGGTACCCTTTTCTTTATATAGTTTGGTGAGAATAGGTCTCAAGCCAGCAGTGTTGTTAACCCATTCAATAATCCCACATTCATCATTCAATGGAATAACTGCATATGTTCGGATATGAAGTTCTCTTCTACGAGATTCTGCATCTTTTCTTAAACACTATTAAAAAAACATAAACTTAAGAATTAATATTTCTAAATATTATGTCAAATATATCTAAAGATTATTCATTTCATACTAAAAGAAGGTCAATAGAAGTTTACCATTAGTGTTGATGAGCCAGGAAACTGCTTGAACAGTATCCCTAATCTCTTTCCAAATTATTAAAAATCACCTGGGTAAGTCCGTTTTTTAAATTATTAACCAAATTTGACAAGAATATTGTGTTTGAAAATATTATAGTTATATATTTAACAATGACAAATACTATTAAACATTAAGTACTCAGGCACAGAGACTGCTATTTAATTTTAATTATTTCAAAAAGGTATAAATAAAAGCATGAGTTTTATGGTATCCTCAGAATATATTTCTTACTCTTTAAGTTTAATATTACAGTTTCATTGGAAAAATTCTGTTCTAGTATAAAAGGTTTTCACATCTCTGATTAATCTTGAAATGCAGTAGCTAAGGATAAAGCATATTTTGTTTAATTCTGGAATGGTATAAAATAATCTAAGCATACATGCCTATAATTGTAAACTGTTCAATTCAAAACCCCAATCACTGACCAAAACACATTTTAAACTTTAGGAACAAGTAGGCTACAGAAATGTCAGCAAAACAGTATGGCATTAGATTCACATGTAAAGATTTGTATGTGCCTCCTGGGCCAACACAGTGAAACTCTAGTTTTTCACAATCAGGCTACTTTATTTGACCATGTTAATGTAGAGGAACAGTAATGAAATACTATAATGAGTAATACAGCTGATTAAGATAATTATATAAACTAAAGCTAGGCCACTTGATCTGCTCAACCAGAAAATTGCCCAGGGAGCTTCAAGGATGAACATACTAATAATTAGTCATGAAATTAAGTTACCAATTCACCAAACAGCATTTTAAATAAAAATATTCCTTCCTTTCATATTGCCTTTGAAATGAGTTTTTAATACAGTATTAATGTTTAACTTACTTTTATAAATGCTTTTCATAAAATCCTCACCTGACTTCCAGTCAAGATGGAGGCATAGGTAGTAAACACAGCTTGCCTCCTTGCACAACCACAGAAAAAATTTCAAGCAAGCTATCACCCAGAATCATCAAAACTTGAGCTGTATGTAAGTCCACAACCAAGGATTTAAGAAATCAAATTCATCCAGACAGGTAGGAGGGATGGAGACATGAGAATGTGGAACTGGTGCTCTCACAACCACATGTGGTAGATCAAAATCCTGAGGGATACCTTGGGAGCAAGGGATCCCAGCCCCACACCAAATTCAAAAACAAATTAAAAAAAAAAGAATAAGCTAAGGAGGCTCTGGGACAACTTCAACCATACCAATATTTGAATCATAATAGTGACAGAAGGTAAAATAAAGAGGAAGAAATTAAAAACTTACCTGAAAAATAATGAAAGAAAACTTCCCTAATGTGGCAAAGGAAATATACATACAAGTCCAGGAAGCACATAGAGTCCCAAACAAGATGAAAACAAAGAGGAGCCACCAAGAGACATTATAACTAACATGTCAAAGGTTAAAGATAAAGAGAGAATCTAAAAAGTAGCAGGGGAAAAGCAGATAGTTACTTACAAAGGAGTTCCCATAAGACTGTCAGATGATTTCTCAAAACAAACTTTGCAGGCAAGAAGGGACTGGCAAGAAATATTCAAAGTGATGAAAAGCAAGGACCTACAACCTAGATTACTCTATCCAGCAAAGCTATCATTTAGAATTGAAAGGCAGATAAAATGCTTCCCAGACAAGGTAAAGCTAAACCAGTTCATCATCACCAAGCCATTTTATATGAAATGTTAAAAGGATTTAAAAAATACAAGATCATAACTATGAACATTAAAATAGCAATAAATTCACAACTGAATCTAGAAAACAAATTAAGCAAAGCAGAACAGGAGAAGAATCATAGATATGGAGACCATTTGGAGTGTTATCAGTTGGAAGGGGAAGGGGGAAAATGGGGAAAAAGATGTAGGGATTAAGAAGTGCAAATTGGTAGGTACAAAATAGATGGGTGTTAAGAACAGAATAGGAAATGGAGTATCCAAAGAACTTACACGCATGACCCATGGTCCTGAACTAAGGGAGGGGATTCCGGAGGGAATGGGTGGTACTGGGTAGAGGGGGCAAAGGGGTAAAAATTGGTACAACCGTAATAGCATAATCAATAAAATATATATTTTTAAAAATCCTCACCTGAAGATGTGTTTTTATTGATTTTAGAGAGAGGAAGGGAAAGAGAGAAACATCGATTGGCTGCCTCTTGTATACATCCCAAGAGGGGACGAACCTGCAACCTGCATGTGCCTGGATTAGGAATCAAACCCACATACTTTTGGTTATGGGACAATGAATGCTCCAACCAACTGGGCCACCCAGCCAGGGCATTTCTTTTACTTACTTTTGATTAAACTAAACACAAAGCATAACTGTCTTATGAAAAATGAACTTATATGCTGCTTTATCTTTTCTATGTTAAAAGTTCCTAACTTTTCCATGTAATAAAAGGGGTATCAGTGATAATTGGGAAAAAGATAAGAGAACAGGGACAAAAAGCTTAGATAAAAACAATAATGATTCATCCTTCAAGTCCTTCAACAGTACGGTCTATTTTTATCAATACAAAAAGAGAATCTGTACCTTTATAGCACCTGACTACAGAATAACTCAAAATACCTAAGACCATTTATTTTTAATAACCCTTTAATGAGATCTCACATTATCATTTCTGAGACAGAAATCAAGTGCTTAACAATAAAACAAAAAAATACTAGTGATCACTTTTAAAATAGTGTTTATAAAAATAGAACACTTTCTTTATAGCACTGAAACATAAAACATAAATCTGACATAAAAAGTACATATAATTTAAACATTAAGTAGAAAAATTTCCCCTCATGAATATGCCTTAGACATTTTTCTCAATATAATAATAGCAGTATCTTATTTTTTAAAAATTAAGTGAAACCAGTGCTCTTTATACACTGATGCACCTGCCTGGATCGGCTGCTGTGATGGAGGAGGAGGAGGAGAGGAGTCCTGAGGAGCAGCAGCAATTCTCTTATCAACAGACATTTGAAAAGAAGCACAAATAATACAGAAGATGTGAAGCTCTTAGCCAGGAGGAGTAATTCACTGTTAAATACATCACAGAAAACTGAGAAGATTGCTCAGTTTAACAAAGGACGAAAAGCAAAGAAGAACTTAGAGGCTGAAAACAAAAATTCAGTGGAGGCAGCAGGGGCTGAAGGAGTTGAAACTGAGAATTAAATTCTATCACCATTTGGAAAAAGCAGACCTCAGCAGGTAGAGCCACCAAAAACACATACTGCTACAGAGGCAACTTTGAAGGGATAAGTAGAGATACAAAAAAAAGGTGGGGGGGGAGACTTTTTTTGTGGTATAGTCTCTAAGACAGCAAAATCTACTTTAAAAGAGAACTGGAAACTCAAGCAAAAACCTCCTCATGTTGTACTGAAGTGGTTTGGTATATACTGAAAATTATATCTATTGTAATTAATAAAATTTTGTTAGCAGTTAAAAAAATTAAGTGAAACCAGCAATTCTACTTCTGAGTACATACACAAAAGATTGAAAGCAGGTACTCAAACAAGATATTTGTAAACCTATGTTCATAGCAGCATTATTAACCATAGCCAAAAGTTGGAAGCAACCCAAGTGTCCACTGATGAGTGAAAAGATAAACAAAACGTGGTATACACATACAATGGTATAATTATTCTGCTTTATGAAATAAAGAAATTCTGACATGCTATAACATGAATGGACCTTGAAGCCATAATGCTAAGTGAAATAAGCCAGTGAAAAAGGATAATATTGTATGATTCCACTATTAGGTGTCTGGAGTAGTAAAGTTCATATAGATAGAAAGTAGAAGGGTGGTTAACAGAGCCTGGGAAGAAAGTAAATAGGGAGTTACTGTTTAGTGGATACAGAGTTTCAGTTTGGTAAGATAAAAAGAGTTCTGGAAGATACTATATGATTTCACTTATATGTGGAATCTAATTCTAAACTAACAAGCAAAATAGAGACAGATTCAGAGAGCACGATGACAGTTATTGTGGGGGGATGGTTAGGGGGTGGAAGGATCAAGCAAAAAGGAAAAAGGATCATGGACATGGACAACAGTGTGGTGACTGCAAGGGACGGTATAAGAAACTAAATGGTAATGGAAAAAATAAAATAAAATTTTAAAATGAGTTCTGAAGAGAGATGATGGTGATGGTTGCACAATGTGAATCTGTTTAATGCCACTAAACTGAACATTTAAAAATGGTTAATTTTATGTTATGTATATTTTATCCCAATTTTAAAAACTAATTAAAAATGTAATGAAAGGCACTACATTTCATTCCCTCTTTTTGACAGTGATCTGTTTGCATACTGAAAAGCTCACATCACATTGATAGTAACTGTAGTTAACTCTAAAATAAAAGCAAACTATCTCCAACCTTATTAATCAAGGAATTAAATTCCATTAGTCTACAATCCTTTCTCAGGTCATCTTTTGGCTTACACATCATGATGTAGAACTTTCCATCTGATCCTTTTAAAGATATCTTCTTTGGTTTCTGAAGAGAAGCAAGAATTTCCACCTAAAAGATGATGAGATATATATTATACATTATAAAGTCAAACTTCTATATCTAAATATCTATATGTATTATAAATATTGTGTCACCTAACATAATAAAAAGAAGAATCTATATTATGCAGTAAATTTATTCTTTTATCAATTTATTTTAATTATCTATGACCTATGAAAAGAATGGCTGCCCATGAGTAGAAACATATTTTCACCCATTAAGAATGATTATGAAATAATTGAGCGCGGGCTGCGAACCAAAGTGTCGCAGGTTCAATTCCCAGTCAGGGTACATGCCTGGGTTGCAGGCCATGACCCCCAGCAACTGCACATTGATGTTTCTCTCTCTCTCTCTCTCTCCCTCTCTCTCTCTCTCTCTCTCTCTCTCTCTCTCTCTCTCTCTCCCCCCTCCCTTCCCTCTCTAAAAATAAATAAATAAATAATCTTAAAAAAAGAATGATTATGAAATAAAAAGATTATCAGCAATGTAAGTACATATACATCAAAATTTATATAGCCCCTTAAAGCAGTCACAATGTTTAAAAGATTTTTGTATCTTTAGGACCTTTCTTCAAAGGCTCTGACACTGTTTTTAAATGTATTTAATGGTAAGAAATGTTTATCAATCAAAAGTAACTTGATTTTTAAAAAAAGAAACTGCTCCAAAATCAAATCTACCTGATGAGGTGAGTAAATAAGCTTAATATTATTAAGTTAAAAACAAGGCATGATTATAAGTAATTAAAAATGATTGCATTATGTGGTTTAATAACTGGCTCTAGCAGTAAAACAAATGTTTGGAGTCAGAAGTACTGGAATAAATATAGTTGTCAACAGTATTTAAGCCCTGGCTGGTGTGGCTCAGTGAATTTAATGTCGCCTGTGAACCAAAGGGTCGCTGGTTCAATTCCCAGTCAGGGCATGTGCCTGGGTTGCGGGCCAGGTCAGGTCCCCAGTAGGCGGCACTCAAGAGGCAACCAAACATTGATGTTTCCCTCTCTTCCTCCCTTCCCCTCTGTCTAAAAGTAAATAAAATCTTTTTTAAAAAAGGCATTTACTAATAAGTCCTGTAGTACCATTTCTTAAAACAGTCATATATCATACTTCAAAAAAGAATCATGCTCTTCCTAGCTGAATTTCACTTCCTTAAAAAATAAAATAAACAAATAAATAAACCAAAACCAAAAATCTTGATTTTTTTCTTTCTGTTCTCCATATTTAAGACAAAAGAAGAGTATGGAAAAATCAAATTGTGAAAAAATAAAGATTATAGTCATATTAAAACAAATGTGAGCATGTGAAAAATCAAAATACATACTAATTTAGACATGGGATTTTTATCAATTAATTTTGTTTCATCAGTACAAGAGAGTTTTGCTTTTCTGTGTTTCCAATCACTTTTTCTTTGCTAACAAAATTCACTTAATCTCTGGGAAAACACTTTTAAACTTAATTTGAAAATGTTAACAAAAAAAATTTAATTAAAAAAAAACATAGTCACAGTTATATAAAACTAAAGTTTACCGTATCATCAAAACTTGCAATATAAGCCCAATGACCAGGAAATGGATCGTGGTTAGCATGGGTACCCAGAATTGACGGAAGAGTAGGTATCATGACTGATTGTAAAGGGATGAGGATTTCACTAAATGTTGCTTCTTCTACCAGCTTTTTAAGCATTTTAAAATGAGTGCTCATGCTTAATGTGGAGCTACTTCCATCCACCTGGCGGGGGGAAAATGGTACATTTTAATTTCTCTGTTTACCTTGAATTATAGAACTCTTTAGTTTCACCCAAAATAAAACTTTGGTTCTGCAGTATCTTAATAACAATGGCTGCACAGTCTGTAGTTCTCTAAATATTTTTTACACATTATCTCATTTTAATTTCTCTGTACTCTTTTACCTAATCAATAATACCTACATCATAGGATTGTTAAATGACTAAAAGAGATAATAAAGGGTATAATCTATTATCAGACATTACAAAAAAAAACAGCTCTATAAATTAAATATTTTTGGTACCCTATCTCATTTGGCAGCAAAATAATACCTAATTTCTCACTTAGTGCAAAGATTAATATGTTTCACTACAGAAATAATCAGGTATTCAATTGTGATACTCAATATAATGTACAATACATGCACTCTGTTCCCTTTGAAAATCTGAAAAATTTGGAATTCCTAAATGTAGTGGGCCACAAAGGTTTCAGACAAAGAATGAGAAACTTTTAAAAGTGCAGGTGTTTAATAAATGCTGGGCACTATCATAACACTGTTTTTGATAATATCAAGTATATCAGAAATCAAATAGAATTCAGATAGAAAAACAGATTACACTTTCAAGATGTTCATTGTTGAAGAACAGTCCCTATTTTCTCACCTATAAACAGTTATTAGTGAATATTTGCAATAAGAAATATGGCTATTAACCTTATAAAGAGTCTCTCTCTCTGTTTATAACTAGCCCTACCCCCTCCTCTGCCTTTCTGTACATTCTTCAGGGGGGTTTTTTCCCCCTTCCAATTCCTTAGGTAGAATAGTGGGTCACTCCTATAAGCATGTCCATATTCCACGCACAAATTTACTGAAAAAAGTAGCTGTGACACTAGATAATAACCATCTGCTTGGTTTCCTGTGAGACCATGAATACTTCAAGACAGGAGAACATGTATTATTCACCACTGTTTCCCTTAACATACTGCTTATCTCCTGGTAGGTAATAAAATGTGTACTGAAGGAATAAAAACCAAAACGCCAATCTTCTTTCCTCTTATATATGTAGGTTAATGTATGTAAGTTTTGAAAGTTTAAAGATATGAGAGAAAACGATCACAGATACAACTTTAATTAACTATTTTACATATGGCTTACTTCATATCCTCCACCTAAACTTATTTTTAATAAAAACAAATAATTTACTCTTGAAAGAATTTATATTAAGAACTTTTAGAAATTCGGAGGGTATTTGATAGAGAGACATATGTTAGCAATTTTAAAAACAGCTTTATTAAGGTGAACTGCACATTTTTAAATTCAAAGTATACAATTTGATGCCTTTCAAAATCTGTGTATACCAATATTCATTAGAATTTTAATGATGAAAGAAAACCTGCTAAAATCCTATAGAAGTTTTATATAAAATTATACAACACTGGCCTATAAAGTAGTAAGATTTATGATAATACCGGTTTATTGCACAATTCTAGAAGCTTATCTGTTAGACGAGTTGCATCTCCAACAAACTTTTCTAAGGATTTTTTCATATGAATAGCTTTATTTAGGATTTCCTTGCATCTGTTCACACGCATGGGATAAGAAGACTGCCATAAAAAAGAAAGTGAAATGCAATTTTATATGAGATTTTAAAAAGATAACAAAACTTCTTAACAACTATCAACTTTAAAAGTACTCAAGGAATCTTCAAGGAATATTTAATAACATGCAAACATGCTTATGATAACAATCTTAAGTAAAAAATATGAAATTATGTATGTAATTCAAATTAGAACTAAAATGTGTATAGAAAATAAATATATAAAAACTACATCAACATATTAATGAATTGGAGTAAAATTTTCTTTTTTATATCTCTGTATATTTTTTAAGTTCTCTAAAATATTTATTAAATAAACATATTTACCAAGTTGCAAAGTTTATTAATAATGCAACAAAATTTTGATAGCATTAATAAGTTCAGGTACTTTGAATTAAAACACTTGGGAAAAACACTCAGGGCCAAGATGGAGGCGTAGGTAGACACACTGTGCCTCCTTGCACAACCAAAAGAAAGACAACAACAATTTAGAAATAAAATAACAACTAGAACTGACAGAAAATTGAACTGTATGGAAGCTGGACAACCAAGGAGTTAAAATAGACACATTCATGCAGACCAGTAGGAAGGGCGGAGTCAGGCAACCAGGCAGAGAGGGATCACCACACAAAAAGCAATAGCATCGGGCACAGAAGGCACCGGGACACAAAAGATGGTAACGGGCAAACGCTGGGCGCACAGGCTGTGGCTGGCAGACCCTGGGTGCAGGGTAGCAAGGGGCAGACCCAATGAGGTGGCAATTGTAAAGTGAAGCACTGTGCACAAGGCAGCTGGCTGACCAGGTGGTCCCACATTCGAGTGCAGATAAACCAGGCAAAACTGGGGAGCGAGACAGACTACACAACTGAGGGTCCCAGTGCAGGAAATAAAGCCTCAAACACCGACTGAAAACACCTGTTGGAGTTGATACACAGGGAAACTCCCAGCCTCACAGGAGAGTTCGTTGGAGAGACCCACAGGGTCCTAGAACATGCACAAGCCCACCTACATGGGAATCACACCACAAGGGCCCAGTTTGCTTGGGGGAAGTGGCTGAAGGGACTGAAATCCGACAGAGAGTGGAGCAAGCCTCATTGTTCCCTCTCGGACCCCACCCCCACACATAGCATCACAACCCAGTGACTGGGTTACCCCACCCTGGTGAAAACCTAAGGCTCCGCGCCTCATACATAATAGGCACAACCAGACCCCCCTCCCAAAAAAATGACCCAAACAGAAGAACAGATCAAAACCCCAGAACAAATACAACTAAGCAACCAAGATATGGCCAACCTATCAGATGCACAGTTCAAAGCACTGGTAATCAGAATGCTCCCAGAATTGCTTGAATTTGGTTGCAAATGAGATGAAAAAAGGAAGGCTACACTAAGTGAAACGAAGGAAATGCACAGGGAACCAATAGTGATGGAAAGGAAACTGGGACTCAAATCAATGGAGTGGACCAGAAGGAAGAAGGAAACAACCAAACACAAAAGAATGGAGAAACAAGAATTCAAAAAATTGAGGAGAGCCTTAGGAACTTCCAGGGTATCTTTAAATGTTCCAACATCCAAATTATAGGGGTACCAGAAGGGGAAGAAGAAGAGCAACAAGTGGAAAAGTTATTTGAACAAATAAGAAAGGAGAACTTCCCCATTCTGGCAAAGGAAATAGACTTCCAGGAAGTTCAGGAAACTCAGAGAGTCCCAAAGAAGTTGGACCCAAGGAGGAACACACCAAGGCACATCATAATTACATTAGCCAAAGATTAAAATGAAAGAGAGAATCGCAGAAGCAGCGAGATAAGGAGACAGTTACCCACAAAGGAGTTCCCATAAGACTATCAGCTGATTTCTCAAAAGACACCTTGCAGGCAAGAAGGGGCTGGAAAGTATTCCAAGTCATGAAAGGCAAGGACCTACATCCAAGATTGCTCTATCCAGCAAAGCTTTCATTTAGAATGGAAGGGCAGATAAAGTGCTTCTCAGATAAGGTCAAATTAAAAGAGTTCATCATCACCAAGCCCTTATTATATGAAATGTTAAAGGGACTTATCTAAGAAAAAGATAAAAAACATGTATAGTAAAAGGACAGCAAACTCACAATTATTAACAATCACACCTAAAACAAAAACAAAAACAAACTGAGCAAACAACTAGCACAAGAATAGAACCACAGAACCACAGAAATGGAGATCACATGGAGGGTTAGCAACAGGGGAGTGGGAGGAGGAGAGAGGGGGAAAAGGTACAGAGAATAAGTAGCATAAATGGTAGGTAGAAAATAGACAGGGAGAGGGTAAGAATAGTGTGGGAAATGTAGAAGCTAAAGAACTTATAAGTATAACACATGGACATGAACTAAAGGGGGGATGTGGGTGGGAGAGGGGGTACAGGGCGGAGGAGAGAGTAAAGGGGGCAAAATGGGACAACTGTAATAGCATAATCAATAAAATATATTTTAAAAATAAAAAATAAAACACTTGGAAAAAAATAGATTACCAAGCACTAACAATTTATACACTTTACAAAGAAAAGGCATGCTGATTGATCTTAAACACACTAGAAACAACCAAACTTCACTTTCACTTCATTTCATATGGTAAATATTTCTAAATTTTAAAATGGATCATAATGCTATAATTTGTTTAAGTATTTAAAATTTATGTTTCACTACAAATCTAAGACAAACCCTCAAACTGAATCTATATATTAGCATTAAATAATCAATGCCATGTTAAAATGGAAAAACACACCTGTGGTTAATACATTACCTTTGATACAGCTGTCATCATCCACATTGCTTGCTGAGGATAGGCCAGAAACACTTTGGCTATAATTTCCATCAAGACAACAAAAACTTCATCGTGAGAATGACAAATTCGGGAGATCAATTGTGAAAAAGCAGTCAAAAACTGATATGGAGCTAACTGACTTGTGTGGTCTGTGATAACTTTGTTTATTTTAGCTAAATCATTTCTCATTTGTACACGATCAGAGCGGCCAGCTGGAAGAAAAATCAAAGTTTAAAAAATACTAATAAGTTAAAAAGAATAAAAGAATACAACAGTTCATTTCACAGAAAGACAATTTTGTTTTAAAAACAGTTTTAAGATATATAGTAATCCACTCTATCCAATTTTGCTTTCCATGCTTTCAGTTATTGGTAGTCAACTGCTGCCTGAAAATATTAAATGGAAAAATCCAGAAATAAATAATTCATAAGTTTTAAATTATGCAACATTCTGAGTACCGTAATGAAATCTCATGCTATCCCCTCTCCACCCTCCCCAAGACATGAGTCATCACTTTGTCCAGCATCTTCACACTGTACATGTTAGTCACATCGTAGCCTTCTCACTTATCAGGTTGACTGTTGAGGTACTGCAGTGCTGGTATTCAAGTAACCCTTATCTTAACGGCCTTAAAGCACAGGAGTAGTGATGCTGACAATTCAGATATGCCAAAGAGAGCCATACGGTGCTTTCTTTAAGTGAAAAGGCAAAAGTTCTCAACAATATAGAAAGAACAAAAATTGTATGCTGAGGTTGCTAAGATCTACAGTAAGAAGACTCTTCTATCCATGAAGTTGTGAAGGAGGAAAAAGAAATACATGCTAGCTTTGCTATCACACCTCACACTGCAAAAGTTACAGCCACAAATATGTTGAGAAGCACTTAGTTAAGATAGAAAAGACATTAAATACGTGGGTAGAAAACATGAACAGAAAACCTATTCTGAATGACAGCAATGTGCTGTACCAGCAAGCATTGAGCCTATACAAAGACTTCAGCAAAGGATCCCCTAAAATAAATGACACCACCTCATTTACTGAAAGTAACGGATGGTTACACAGACTTGGGAATGGGTGTGTACTGAAAAATATAAAAGTTACTGGAGAGGCACCTTGACTGGTGTGACTTAGTGGGTTGGGTTTTGTCCCACAAACCAAAAGGTCGCTGGTTTGATTCCAGGTCAGCACATGCCTGGGTTGCAGGCCAGGTCCCAGGTGGGGGTCCTGCATGAGGCAACCCATTGATGCTTCTTTTGCACGTCTAAGTTTCTCTTCAGCTTACTCCCTCCCTTTCCCTCTCTCTAAAAATGAATAAACAAACAAATATTTTTAAAGCTAAAAAGAGCCCTGGCTGATGTGGTTCAATGGATTGAGCGCCAGCTTTCAAATCAGAGGGTCGCTGGTTCGATTCCCAGTCAGAGCCCATGCCTGGGTTGCAGGCCAGGCCCCCAGTGGACCCCAGTGGGGGACGCATGAGAAGCAGCCACACATTGATGTTTCTCTCCCTCTCTGTCTCCCTCCCTTCCCCTCTATCTAAAAATAAATAAATAAAATCTTTTTTAAAAATGAAAGAAAGATAAAAAGAAAAATTACTGGAGAGGCTGTGTCTGCTAATGAAGCAACTGCTGCCATATTTCCAGCAGAGTTAAAGAAGTTGATTAAGGTTTGGTACCATCCAAGGCTTCAGGCATCCACTAGGTTTTTGGAATGTGTCCCCCGTGGATAAAAAGGATTAGTGTATGTTATTATCATGTACCAAACCCGGTCATGTGCCAATTTTTGAAAATATAGTTTTCTCTGTCCAAGTAGGAAAAAATATTTAGGAATGTTGAAAAATTCAAGGGCCATTCATTTTCACTAGAAACAAACAGAACAAGCTACAGTCTATTGTAATTTTTATGGTGATTATTTGGCTTAAACTAGTGTTTTTCAATATCAAGGAAGGAGCAGATTTTCAACTGCAGGCTCTGAGCTGCAACTACTTAAAAAGTCTATGTTCAGTTACTTAAAAAAACAAACCAACCAACTAACAAAACAAAACAGAAACAGTTTCATAGACATAGACAACAAACTGATGGTTGCCAGTGGTGGGGGAAGGGCAAAAAAAAATGTAGGAGATTAAGAGGTACAAATTTTCAGTTATAAAATAAATAAGTCATGGGGATATAATGTACAGCATAGGGAATACAGACAATAATATCACTTTACACAGTACAGATGGGTACCAGATTACTCGTGGTGATGACTTTGTTAGATATGTAAACGTTGAATAGCTAAGTTGTGCACCTGAAACTAAGAGAATATTAGTAAGCATATTTTAATATGGTTACTAATATTGGTTACAAATAAAGTAACCATATTTTAATTTAAAAAGTCTATGTTTAATATTTCCTGTTTTTAACATTTAGTTTACATAAAATATTACATAAAATATTTTTTAAATTTATTTTTCAATTACCAAAGATGACTTTTTAATTTATAAAACCTTATTTACCAAATTCATTCTGTTAAACTGTCAAGCCAAATCTAACTTAATACAAAAATTATCATTTCTCTTGGTTCTTTAAAATTTTACATACAAACTTATACCTTTTTCCCACTCATATGCCTTAGCACCAAAATCAAGCCATAATGATAACATCCGTGGCATTGACTGATATATAAATTGATTTCCATATTGTAGAGATCTGCAATCATATAAAGAAGGTATTATTAACATATTATTCTTTGTTTGTTATGTACATTAACATCTTAAGATTTAAACTACTACTTAAACAAAAATTTCTGCTATCAGTATTTCTTCCTATTAGAGGTTATCTTTTGACTCTTCTCTCTCCTTTATTTCCTACTATATTCCTCATTAAGCTCCATCTTGCCTGTACCAAAATTAATACAAGTTAGGACCTAGTGAAAATCTTGTCACCCTGACTGGTATGGCTCAGTTGGTTGGGCATCATCCCACAAAGCAAAAGGTCAGGGGTCAGATTTCCAGTCAGGGCACGTGCCCTGTCCCTGGTTGGGGCAGAGGCAACTGATCGTGTTTCACACATTTATGTTTCTATCCCTTCTTTTCTCCTTCCATTCCTCTTCCTCTAAGAATAAATAAATAAATATTTTTTTAAAAACCTGTCAACACTTCTTTCACATTTTCCTTAGGACCTGTGCCTTCTATTGCATTCTGTGGCCATAAGCCTACATCAAGCTCAATCACTCAATTTTTGGAAAGTTATAATAACTTAGTCTCCCTAATTTTACATTTCTTCCCTTCAATTAAGCTAGACTAATATTCTTTAAATTCTAGTTTTATCATGCTCAAAAACAGGAATCAACTACCTATTCTTTAAGACCATATGAAAACTCTGCCTAGGATTCAAATATTCACAATCTTGTTTCTTTATAACTTTCCAGTCTTGGTCTCTTACTACTCACCAGCATACACCTTTCAAGACTCCAATAAGGAATCTTCCATCAAGTCCAATTTCCTCACCATCCTCTGAACAAACCATTCAAACCCTATCTCTCTGCCAAATTTATAAAAGGTTAGTAATGGCCTCTCCTTCTTGAATTTAATTAACTTTCAAATCCTACCTTTTTCATGAGGTTTACCACACTTCTGTAGCAATGCGGTATAAAAATGTATACTTTTCAAATCATGAAATCAGGGGCTGAAGTTTTGACTTCAGATTTGCCCAAAATTTATGACTTCGGGACTTGTTTGGTTCATTTTTTGTATTTATTAAAATCAAAAGATTTTTATACTATTTATTTTGATACCTAATCACACATTCCATTATGTACCATTATTTAAACATTTTATGTGCTGCTGTGGTCAGGTGGCTCAGTTAGTTGGAGCGTCATCTTGTACAGCAAAGGGTTGCAGGTTCAATCCCTGGACAGGGCACATACCTAGGCTGCATGTTCAGTCCCCATTTGGGGTGTGTTGGGGAGGCAACCAGTTGATGTTTCTCTCTGCCTCTTTCTTTGTCTCTCTCTCTCCCCCCACATCCCTTCTTCTCTCTCTAAAATCAATGAACATATCCTTGGGTGAGGATAAAAAAAGTGTTTTATGTGCTTAAGTTTCCTCTATCTAATTGGACTGGAGTTCCCTAAGAGCAAATACTGATGCTTAATTAGTAATAACATAGTAATTCAATCACTCAGAGGAAAAATAAGTCTTATAGCTGAGTGTACTCCCTTAAGCATCCAAATGTTTTCTTTTAACTACTATGGATAAAGTAAGTTCTAAAATCTCCTTACTTTCTTAAACTATACTTACAAATATCTCACAGTATACCTAATAATGTTATGCACATCAAGGACTCTAAATAACTACATTTTAGGAGAAATGCATTAAATAAGTTGTTTGCCAATGTACATGATATACATTAATACTAAAGACCGAATGAAAGCTATTACTCATTTTAGAAAAGACAAATAACTATCCTCCGCATATGCTTCCATTTCAAAATGCCAATATGCCGTAAACTCTGTCCCAAAAACAAGCAGTTACTAATCAATAAATAAAATTAAGTTTGGATTTTATAAAACTTGAAGTCCATCTTGGGAAGAAGGGCTTGGCCAATCTTGTAATTCTATTATCACCAATAAACAAATACTGCTTTGATTCCTGAAAATACTAAGCTGAGAAGTCAAAATACCAAGTAACAGGCAACGATAAATAGATTTATTGCTCTGAAATAAGTTACCCTTCAATGTAAAGCAATGGTAATAAGCATAATAAAAAGAATGAGTGGAATGTCATTATTACCTTTTAGAAATTAATAATTGGTGACAATATAAACAGTAGGCATGAAGTAATAATCAATTTGACTACCATATACTAATATATGAAATTAAGCTATATTTCACTTGTTATCTAGTTTAAGATAAGCTTTTCTACAAGACCAACATCAAAACCATTTTCATATATATACTATTTCTTAGTAAAATGGGCTAACAGGAAAGATTCTACTGGCAATTACAGACAACAAGTAAATGTATTAGTTTTAAAGTCCTCTGACATTCTAGCGAGGGAAACTCAGGAGATGAGGGTCTGAAATGGGAAGAACACTTTATTTTCATTACATATACTTGGTACTATTGAATTTTTTAAAAATATGCATGCCTTAATCCATTAAAATAGTTATTTTTAAAAGGGAAGAAAAATGTATAAAGAAAAATTAACATATCATCTAAAGTGATATGTAAAGCAGAAAATATCCTGTATGTGCTAATGTCTGTGGTAACAGTTTGATATCAACAGTCACCCTGACATACGAGTATTTAATCAACAAACTCACAGTTCTCACACTCACACTCACCTTCCAAAATGAAGGACTATATACCGAATGAGATCACCCTGCTTTTCCATTTTGTTGTCTGTGACCATGGGCATCAATTTGTCATAGTACTTGGCAAGGTAGAAATGCCCATCCTCCCATTCTGGCAGGAACAAGGTCACATCCTGGAAAAGGGAAGACAGGACACTCAACTCAGAAAACCTCACACTATGCTGGGAAGTAAAACATGAATAGATGATTAGAGACCAAAAGCATAAAACCCACATCTGTCAGAATCTTTGATGTAAATAAGGCATAGCTAACTACTTTCTTAGCAAATGTTTTTCTCAAGATGGCTGGTTGGTTTTGGTGACTGTCCACTGATCAACATTTCATAATTTGCCACTTTATATGATACTTCAAAATAATTTCCAGATGGGTTAAAGAACTATGTGTATCTCTATATATGCATATTATTATTGTTTTAAAAAACTCAAAGAAAGAGGTAATATCAAATCACTGAAAATGATAGGATTTTAAAAGCATAAAAATGTGTTTTAAAAATATATATCTTGTTTTTCCTCCAAGAACTCTCTCTCTCTCATTATCACCCTCTCTCTCAACTCCTTCAAAATCAGGCTTCTAAAAAGAAATCTCCACCTTACATTCATTCCTCAAACTGTTTCTTGTGGGCTTCAGTTTTCACCCCTCTACAAAGCAGCTCCCTAAATCAAAGGGACACTTTACAAGTCTGATCTCATTTGAATACGCTTCAGCAATTTGTTTCTGCTGTCCACCCATTTTCTCTTTGAAACATTTTCTCCTCTTGGCTTCCATGAGACCCCAGTATTCCAAGTTTTCTCCTGCCTTTCAAGTTACTCCTATTTAGTCTCCTTTGTCATTTTCTTTCCCTTCCCTTTAAATATTTGTGTGGTTTATTAACTTTTTAATAATATTTGAAATGTGATGGAAAATACACAGAATGCTGACTAAAAAAAATTCTTTAAATCAATTTCCACTCAGTCCAAACAAGTTCAAGAACACAATTTAGTACAGGAACCTGCCTGTAGAGAGAGGACTGGCATGGCTAGAAGTGTGCATCTCATACTAGTCCAGACCAGCCACAGGAATGAGGCAGCCAGTGCACCTCTCCTATTTAGCCATCAGAGAAGGAAAGGGAACAACAGAAAACAATAATTAAAATTTCTTCCCCAAAAAAGTATTTTTTTAATCTGGTTTTATCATCTTTTTATCTTCTTTCTTCCTCTCTTCTCTCCCTTCCTCCTTCCTTTCTGGTTTAAGTTTAAAATTTTTATCTTAGAAATTAAAATTTACATAGAGAAAAATAAAGAAATCTAACATGTACAGCTTGGTCAATTATCACAAAGTGATAACACCCATACAAGAACTCCAGAAATGTGAGTACCCCCATTCACCCTCCCAATCACCACTCATTTCCTTTTCCCCCAAAATAACCACTACTATAGTCTGAATGTTTGTGTCACCACCCCACACCACCACCCAACAAAAATTCTTATGTTGAAGCCTAATCTCCAGTGTGATAGTATTTGGAGGTGGGGCCTTTCGGAAGTGGTTAGGTAACAAGATACAACCCTCATGAATAGGATTAGTGCCCTTATAAAAGAGACCCCATAAAATTCCCTTGCCCCTTCCACTATGTTATATAATAATGAAAAGATGGTAGTCTAATAAACCAGAAAGCAGGACATGATACATGAGCAGGCGGGCGCACTGTTGTGATGAAGCTGCCTATCACCAGCTGCCCAAAGCTGCAGCCTTCTGAATCACCTGAATAGTTTTCACAGAGGAGTATTCAAACTTAACAAAAAATTTGATGCAGATTCATTGCTCTACTGGCTCAGTCATTTTGAATACAATGACCACACAGTACACAAGCTCACTCAACCGCATCTACTGCCCTCCCTGATTAGTACAGTAAAGTTGTCATTGATCATGCATATGCTTTCTAGTCCCCTCTCACTGGCTGCCAGGTTATATTGATGCCGCGCAAACCATTCTCATTATGTTAATAATGGCTGGACTTTTTCTGGACAGACCTTGTATATTGGGTTTGTTCAAAAATTTTCAGGCTAATGTGTAGTTAACTTTGGGGAACATGGGTGAAAGGGCAGGTTGTAAAGTGCTAATAAGATTCTACTTCTTGACCTAGGTGATGATTTCATGAGTATATTTACTTTGTTTTAGTAAATAATATACGCTTATGTTATTTATATACTTATATATTTATGCTACATACTCACTAAAAAATCAAAAAGGTTTACTGGTTATTTTTATGTGTATTTCTTTTCCATTTAGACTTTAAAATAATCATATCTATTTTCAAAATCAAAAAAAGAGTTTCTACCTGAAACTGCATTATATCTATACTTGCCTTATATTTTTTCATAACTGCATTGCTTTCAAAGTTAGCTGTTTCCTCCATAAATCGGCCTACTAGTAGCATAGCTCGACCATGGATTAACATGTCTTTACTCGCAGTTGGAGTTTTATTTTCAGGAAAACATAATTCAACACCCTTTTGAAGAACAATTAGTGCCTGGTGAACATCACCCTGAAAGAAAAGAAGGCAACAACAAGACTTTTAACTTAAGAACCTATTTCCATTTTCTAAAAAAATAAATAATAAAATTATTAGGATTTAAAGTTCATTAGATATTTTATTTGTAAATCCATTTGAATTTCATGTTCAGCTCTTATTTTCATCCTATTAAAGTAACATCTTAAAAAGCAATCATTGCTTCATTTCATGTAGAACATATATTTATTTACTTATCCATTTTATAGTCAAAGTGTAGGAACTAAAGCTATTATCTACATGACTAGAGATGAACAATGAATAAATCAAAATCTCTGGCTTAAAAAAGTTCATCAAATAAAGAAATAGACTATGTAAACTAAAAGGCAATGTGCTACGTGCTATTAACAGAGAAATATACATGGGTATTGTGGAGGAAAGAAAAGGGAGTTCCCCAAATCTCCATGAAAATATAAGAAAATAAAGGAGAGCAACAGTCAGAAAAGGTTACCCCATGAGGAAGATCTGAATTTGGTCTTAAAGAATGAGAATAGACTTCCGGCAAGATGGAGGCATAGGTGGACACACCGTACCTCCACGCACAACCAAGATTAGAACAACAATGTAAAGGCAGAATAACACCCAGAACTGACAGAGAATTTATCAGAATGGAAGTCTGAGAGCCAAGAAGTTAAAGTAGACCCGTTCATCCAGACCGGTAGGAGGGGGGGAAACGAGCAGCAGCCGGGCGTGGGTCTCGACATGCGGAGATCAGGGAGAACTGGGCACACGAAGCAACTGGGAGCACGTAAGCCTTCCGGGACCCGCAAGATTGCAGCGGTGAACCTTGACTACGCAGCCAGCGGTTGGCAGACCCAGTGGGGAGGCGATGGTGGACCAGGGCAGAGCGCGCAGCCCAGGATCCCAGGGGGGTGCTGAGGCCCCAGGAGAGAGGAGCTACCGCCACTGTTCCCTCCCACCCCTGCCCCCACATACAATGTCACAATCTAGTGACTGGGGTGCCCAGCCCTGGTGAACACCTAAGGCTCCTCCCCTCACTGTAACAGGAGCGACCAGACCACCCCCCCCCCCAAAAAAAGAGAGGGAGAGAGACATGTCTCCAACAGAAGAACAGATCAATGCCCCAGGACTCATCCTTTTGAGCAACCAAGAGCTAGCCAATCTATCAAATGCACAGTTCAAAACACTGGTGATCAGGAAGCTCACGGAACTGGCTGATTTTGGACACAAATTAGATGAAAAAATGCAGGTTACCATAAAAGAGATGAAGGAACCTGGCTGGCGTAGCTCAGTGGATTGAGCGCGGGCTGGGAACCAAAGTGTCCCAGGTTCGATTCCCAGCCAGGGTACATTCCTGGGTTGCAGGCCATAACCCCCAGCAACCGCACATTGATGTTTCTCTCTCTCTCTCTCTCTCTCTCCCTCCCTTACCTCTCTAAAAATAAATAAATAAAATATTTTAAAAAAAAAGAGAGAGATGAAGGAAGATGCACAGAGAACCAATAGTGAAGGGAAGGGAACTGGGACTCAAAACAATAGAGTGGACCAGAAGGAAGAAATAAACAACCAAGCAGCAAAGAAGGAAGGAATAAGAATTCAAAAAAATGAGGAGAAGCTTAGGAACCTCCAGGACATCTTTAAATGTTCCAACATCAGAATTATAGGGGTACCAGAAGGAGAAGAGGAAAAGCAACAGATTGAACACGTATTTGAACAAATAATAAAGGAGAACTCCATTCTGGCAAAGGAAATAGACTTCCAGGAAATCCAGGAAGCTCAGAGAGCCCCAAAGAAGTTGGACCCAAGAAGAAACACACCAAGGCACATCATCATTACATTAGCCAAGGTAAAAATGAAGGAGAGAATCCTAGAAGCAGCAAGAGATAAGGGGAGAGTCACCTACAAAGGAGTTCCCATCAGACTGTCAGCTGATTTCTCAAAAGACACCTTGCAGGTAAGAAGGGGCTGGAAAGAAATATTCCAAGTCATGAAAGACAAGGACCTACATCCAAGATTGCTCTATCCAGCAAAGCTATCATTTAGAATGGAAGGGCAGATAAAGTGCTTCTCAGATAAGGTCAAGTTAAAGGAGTTCATCATCACCAAGCCCTTATTGTATGAAATGTTAAAGGGACTTATCTAAGAAAAGAAGATAAAAAAAAAACATGTATAGTAAAAGGACAGCAAACTCACAATTATTAACAACCACACCTAAAACAAAACCAAAAGAAACTAAGCAAACAACTAGAACAGGAACAGAACCACAGAAATGGAGATCACATGGAGGGTTAGCAACAGGAGAGTAGGAGGAGGAGAGAGGGGGAAAAGGTACAGAGAATAAGTAGCATAGAATGTAGGTAGAAAATAGACAGGAGGAAGGTAAGAATAGTATGAGAAATGTAGAAGCTAAAGAACTTATGACACATGGACATGAACTAAAGGGAGGGAAATGGGTGGGAGAGGGTGTAGAGGGGGGTGAAGGGGGGAAATGGGACAACTGTAATAGCATAATCAATAAAATACATTTTAAAAAGTTACCTAGGAAAAAAAATAGCCATTAAAATCTGGGACATAAGTTTTGCAAATTAAGATATTTAAAAAGCCCTTTTCTCATTACACTAGCTTTAATCTGAGGATTGCTAGAGACTTTTGTTCATGACAGGCTAGATTAATTAGAAGTGAATCTTGACAGTAACATTGGCAAGTCCACACAAAACTAATTCTCATCTCTGCTGAGGATATAAGGTAAGGACAATGTTGTGTTCATTTAACAAGTATTTTTTTGAGTTCTTACTACATGCACCCTTTATACATATAGGAGATTAAAACAAAGTAAAAATTGGTCACTTCCCTCAAGAAAAAAGTGAAAAACAGATGAGAACTGAAAGAACTACACTTTCAGACTTGATATGGCAAACTATTTGGGAACTTCAGGATAGAAGAAAATTTTTCCCCAATTATGGTGGATAAATGATGAAGAAAAGTGACAGAAAAAGAAGGTTCTAAATTCACATTAGGAACCATCTGGTCACTCAGGCATTTATAAGAAGTACATAATCCACAAAAGAATACATATATATGACGACATTCCCTTAGTAGTTACCTTGGACCACAACCACTTTGCCCTTTCCACATACAGTTCCGCAAGTCGCGATTCTCCAGCATTAAGCAGAGCATTATAGGCTGTCTGATGGTGACCAGCCTTTCTAGCCACTCTGGCACTCTGTAGCCAGCATTCTCCAACCATTTCACTGTAATCTCGTCTAAAGAAATGTGATAAAACAGGAGGGAAAGAACATTTTTAAGTGTTTTCAACAATTAAGACACCTCTTTCTAACATGGAACATTCTTAATATACCATTCAAAGGAATAAAAAATTAATGTGTTAAAAACTTTTAATTTTCTTAAGGTGTTCCATTTTTATAAATGATGAGTCTATGAAGACCTATTAATGACTTAAATTTGTACCTCCCCAAGATAAGTTTTTAACATTAAAAAAGATATATTGAATGTACACATAATTCTTAAGTTCTAGGTTCATTGTAGCCTTGACAATTAAAAACAGAAAAATACAAATTCAGAGAGAAAATTAGGAAAAATAAATACTTCCAAGTAATACACAAATACAACAGTAAATTCACAATAATTGACATTTTTAAAAAAGTGTGAAAAAAACCTTTTATTGAGGCTTAATAAAGCTCTCCGGAGAGCCAGAATGGGCTCCTTGGCTCTGTAGGAGTTCTGGGTCATTTCTAGTCGAGCTGCCCAGTTTAGAGAATCTTGAGAATCATCACCTGGAGACTGCTGAAAAAGTGGTTTGATGCTATGCTCCAATTCACACAGCATGTGTAATCTGAAGACAGAGAAATCCCACATTAAAATGTTGTAACATTCATACTTATTAATCTCATATATAAAGCATGTACTTCAGCCATGAAAAGTCAGAAATGTGCAGTATTCTTTGCAAGAATTTTAACCAATATATATTCTCAATAAATATAAATAGTAACATCTTTTTATATTGAGTATACATACCAGTTTATGTCTATTTAAATATTTAGTGCTTTACTATAATCCCCAAATTCCTATTAATTAAATTAGAGAAGGGTATATAAAACTAAATTCAAAACTAAATTCAAATGTTTGATGTATGAAAATCAAACTTTATCACATATATGAAGATAAAAGAAAATATGGATACATTATATAACAACATAAATATTTACACATAAGAGGACTTGGCATAGATGAGATGCCAGTAAAAAATGGGAAACATGCAATTTTAATTGTTTTTTTTCCCCTAAGAGTAATAGAAACAGTCATGACACTTTCACACTAGATTTTTTTCCCCTGTATAATCATCAGCATCTAGGACTCAGTCATTGTTCAAGAACACAGCTAGCTACAGCTCTAGCTCACATGGCTCAGTTGGCTGGAGTGTCATCCATAAACCAAAAGGGTGCGGGTTCCATTCCCAGACAAGTCGAGGTGCATATGAGGGGTAACCAATCAATGTTTTTCTTTCACATCAGTGTTTCCCTCTCTCTCTCCCTCCCTTCTCTGCTATCTAAAGTCAATGAGAACGTATTCTAGTGAGAATTTTTAAAATAATTTTGAAGAAAGAATACAACTACAGAACAGAAATAATCTCAGTGGTCTAATCTCTGGTTTCATTAAGCTGTTACCAAAGGGGCTTCTACAGAATACAATAAATTCTTCTAACTGAAAAAAAAATTGCTTATCTTTTTTATTGTTTCATTATTTTCTTCAGAAAATGTTTTCCATCTGGTTCTTTCTTACCTCTAAAAGTTAATATTCCTTTGTAGTAATGCAATGCCTATATTTTGGGGGAGGGAATGGATGTCAAAAGCCTTTCTAAATAGGAAGAGGGAAAAGGGACTTACGAGTAGAGAACACCAATGTGATTAACACAGGTGTCTAGATTATTTAGGTTAGTTGTAAGAAAAATAAACTATGAATTACATCAGGACAAATGTAAGATATTTTGTGATTTTTCAGAAGTCTCATAATTGCCTTTGCAATTAATAGAACATATATTTGAACATTTTTTATTTTTATTTTTAAAGATTTTATGTGTTTATTTTTAGAGAAAGTGGAAGGGAGGGAGAAAGAAAGGGAGAGAATATCAATGTATGGTTGCCTAATGAGTGACCCCATTAGGAACCTGGCCCCCAATGCAGGCATGAGCCCTGACTGGGAATCAAATGGGCGACCCTTTGGTTCACAGGCAAGCACTCAATCCACTGAGCCACACCAGCCAGGAATATTCGGACATTTTTTAAAAACTATAGGGTAATTATGAGTTAGAGAATGAAAAAGTCATTTTGTTTAGCTATGCATAATAGCAAACATACTATCAGTTATTTACTGACCAAAAAATTCTAAGTCTACAGGGGCGGGGAGGGGGGGGCGGTAAGGGGACTAAAAGGTTGTGTAAAAAAAAATACAATAAAGGATGGTACAATAAAAAAAATTCTAAGCCTATCAGATAATACTTACAGACCAGGAATATAAATATAGAAACTTTGAAATGTGCTGAACACAGGACAATATATATATACCTCACAATATATTCATATCCTCTTTGGTAAGAGCCTCTTTCAAAGCTTGCAGCTGAAAGAGGTACAATTTGTTCCGCTCTCACTAGTTTCAATGTATCATAAAAAGCTGTGGAGTCTTTTTTTTTGGCTGACAATAATAACTGTCCCAGTCTGACACTCCATGTGGTAGATTTCCAATCTGAAAAACAAATGAAGAGTCAAGGAATACCATGAGAGCTGTGTCTATGAAAAAGCTTTATTTCATTTGGTCAAATGGTCAGAATAAATACTAAACAAATAAATGGTTTCATTCTACTACGAACAACTAAACAGGGTTATCATAATACAGGCTGAAAGATTAATTACCACTGTTACTTAACTACTTAAGTCTGACTATTTATGACATATGAAAATTGCTTATATTTTAAGAAGTAATTTTACCTGCTGCCAAATAGTTTTCCACTAAATCCCACTGTGACAATTTCCAAGCTGCTTCCACTCTGTATGTGTTTAATTCATCTGTCCATTCAGACCTATTAAAAGAAACCCATATCAACTAAGCTTTTATTTAAGTTTAAAGTGTATTTAAAGATTATTTTCATTGGTTTAGACACTCTGTTTATTGTGTTTATTCATTATTCTATTTATTATATTTGTACTGTATTGTGTTTTATACTTAGATACAAAATAAGTATGTCTATCCAAAAGAACCTCCCAGATTTTAATCCTTCCATCTCCTGAAAACATTTCAATAATTACTTCTGATAGAACCATTTAAAAATGTCATTCCTTGATGAACTAAATTGTGTCAATTAGAGCAAAATTAATACCTGGAAAATTACAAAGTATATTTGTAAGATTAGCTTCATGCTTAATTTGAACAAAGGGAAAGGAAAAACAAAACCCAACTGAACATACATGCATTAAGAGGTAAGCAATTCTATTAACTAGGGATTATGAATGAATTTAAGATAAAATTATGGGTGGTGCAGTGGCTCAGGTTCAGGTTGGGAGTACACAGGACACAATAATAAGGGCATAAGGAAGTTACAAATGGTGTGTCAGTGACATAACAAAGGATACAAAATTAGCTAACCAAAACACATACCTATTTTTAAACTATTTTCAGTAACTTTAAAATTTGAGTTTATAAAATCAGTATGATATAGGTAATTATTTTTATAAGTATTCTATGTATGTCAGACTAAGACAGCTAGTGATACTTTACATCATGACTACATAAAAGAAGCCAGACTTCCCTCATGTTTCTTCTTTATTAATCATACCATTTGAATACCTGCTATACGCTAGACCCTGGGCTGGGCACATTTTTCCATTTAATTAACTAACAAAAATGAAAGGTACACATATTCCCTTTATTATAAAGAAGGTAACAAGACTCAGAGAGGCTAGGATCAATGCCCTCAAAAGTCCTCCTCGCTCTTTCTCTAGTAAAAACACATAAAGTAAAGGGACCCTAGTGCACTGCTGGTGGGACTGCAGACTGGTACAACCACTATGGAAAGCAGTATGGAACTTCCTCAGAAAACTAAAAATGGATCTGCCTTTTGACCCTGCAGTTCCACTGCTGGGACTCTATCCTAAGAATACTAAAACACCAATTCAAAAGAACCTATGCATCCCAATGTTCATAGCAGCACAATTTACAATAGCTAGATGCTGGAAGCAACCAAGATGCCCATCAGTAAATGAATGGATCCAAAAAACTATGGTACATTTACACAATGGAATTCTATGCAGCAGAAAGAAAGAAGGAGCTCCTACCCTTTGCAACAGCATGGATGGAGCTGGAAAACATGCTAAGCGAAACAAGCCAGGCAGTGAAAGACAAATACCATATGATCTCACCTTTAACAGGAACCTAAATAACAAAACAAAGAAACAAGCAAAATATAACCAAAGACACTGAAATAGAGGACAGGCTGATGGTGACCAGAGGGGAGAGAAGAGGGAATTTAAGGGGACAGTGGGAAGGGTTCACAGGAACAAACTTAAAGGACACATGGTCATAGACTAAGGGGAGGGTGGTAATGGGAGGGAAGTGGGGAGGGTGGGAAGGGGGACTGGATTGGGAGTAAAAAGGAGAAAACTGTATTTGAACAATGATTAAAAAAAAAACACACACATAAAGTATAACAAATGAGTTAAATAATTTTTATTTTATTTTTTAAATCTAAAACAGGATAAATATTGAGTATTCCTTAATTTCTAAATATGAACACCACCATAAATAATTTAAAACAAGGCTAAAAGAAATAAAATAGAAATATAATTTTCAGAGCTGTAATTATTAATAACTTTATAAGTGTATCACCAGATGCCACAAAATCAAAATTTCAGAATAAAAATCTGAGGAGAATGAGCATGATTTGCTATCCAGAAGGGGTGTGTACCAGGTATTAAACCAAAAAAAGTACCAAATGGCAATGAGGACCAGGTCGTTGAGAACTTATCCCCATAAAGTGAGTACATTCAAAAGAATGATTGTGCAGGTCAAGCACAATCAATAATTCTGGTGATATATTTATTTAAAGGCCAATATTACCCCCATGGAAAACACACACCCTCAATGACCATTTGCTCCAATATGATACAAAATCATTCACTGAATAATGAAACTTGTCGTTTCACAAATCAGATCCAAAGAGTAGACAAGAGGAAGTAGAACTGTCCGGTGTTCATCATAAAGAAACTTGATACCTTGGCCTGAGCCATGACAAACTGTTCCAAAGTCCTACAAGCCCTTTATTCATAAGGTCTCTCAACTAATCTGGAGAAATGTATCTAAAACATATAATCCATTCTTTCTATACTTCTGCAAAGTTTTCTCCGTGATTTCATAAATTCCACCATTATGAAACCATCTGACCAACAATAAGCTTCTCTAATCTTAGACATTGCAGAATAGTAGTCTTTACAAATCACAGTTGGAATTTATAGAAACTGCACTTTGAAGAATTGCTTTCAGGGTAATCTAACTAAAAACAGTGGCCTGTGTACTCTTTGGTTAACTAAAATACCATCCCTTTTGACCAGATCTCATTGCCCAAAAAAGTCAGTTGGGGTCTAGCAAATATGTTAAGGAACAAGGCTTTTCAGTTGTCAGAGCATAGCAGCTTCAAAAGCAAAACCAACCTCCAGAGTTATTCTCAAAATTAGAAGAACTGTGTGGCCTTCATCTCTGCCACATATAAGGACTATTTTTTGTTTGCTATCACTGGGTTTGCTATGGTAAACCCATTTTCAGGAAAGGAAAGCTACTTTCATTTTTATCAATCCTTTAGGGGAAAATCAAACCCACACTTAAGTCACAAAGGTTCTCTACCCAACACAAAAAATAACTGATGCTGATAATGTAGGAGAGCTTAGATACCCTTTGAAATGCCTGTATGAACCTAACCAAGAGTACATGAATTTTGGAAGGTTCCTGTCCTAAAGCAGATCTAATTCAAGGATGACTGTTTGGACAGAAGACAAGCTGTTAAGACAATGTATGAAAAAGTAGAAAAATGTATGTTTTGGTGCTTATCTCCAATGCATGAAAACATAAAAAAGATTTCTTTACTTTAGTAAACATTATATCAACATAATTCATTAATTTAAAAATTCCCCATTAAGCTAAAACAACAAAAGAAAATCCTTATTTAAAAAAATATTACCTGTTTGCATGCACTCCATTGACCTGAGTAATTACAGTGGATAGCTGGCCAAGACCTAACATGGACTTCACTACACCATGATAATGAATGATCTAAAAATTAAAAAAAAAAAAAAAAACATTTAAAGTAACAGTTGTCACTTATAAATATATCTTGGGAATCAAAAACAGTTTTATATTTATTTTTAAAATTAATATTTACCTCACTGAGCCTTGCATCTTAGTTTAGCAGTAAACTTGCTTGGTTCACTGGCAGAGCCTCCTACCAATGTCATACACACAACTGAATATTTTTTTAAATGCAGACAACCTTTAAAAACTCAAATTAAATTTATTATTTTTTCCTAGATTTGGTCTAATTTTTGGTTCAGATCAAATATAAAAGTAACAAGTACTCTTTAATATTTTATTTAAAGATTATTTGTCATGCTGTCACATAAAAAAATGAAAATTCAAGGTCGTACTATCATTAATACAGATTTTGGGCTTTAATAACAAAAAAAGTTAAATAGGATTATGCAATATTCTTTAAAATTGAAAATAAGATAATAAAAAATAAGAATCCTGTATGTACATTGAGCTTCTGAGAAAAGGAACATGTCAAATATGACAAAAAGCAATACTCCAAGACTAAAGAGAATTTAAACCAAGATTCTAAATCAATGATTCTAGACCCCTTTCCTGTCTCAGTGAACATTAGATATATAACATACCCCCCATGGGGAACTGTAGCTTATGAATTCTAAGGGACCTTTTCAGAGATTCACAGATATTGGTAGGGAGCATGAGAAATCTGAAGAAGTTTCTTAGACTAGAAAATCATTATTAAAAATTGATGCATGTCTTATACTTTTAATAGCAAACTAAAATTATATAAACTTTAGAGTAATTTAACAGTTTAAATATACCTTGCAATACATCTCATTCACTTAGGTATATCTAAGGTCATAGAAATTTGGCATTGGAAGGGATCTTTGAGATAATCTAGTGCAAGTCTCTAATTTTATCAACCAGAAGACTCAAGCTCAGAAATGATTAAATAGTTTCCAGACGCACTGGCAACTGATAAAGACAGTAGTGAAACCAAGTCTTCCAGAGTTTCTAGTATAGGGCTATTTTCATTGTGCTGCCTCTCACATATCACCTTACCTGGTCTGGTTCTAGCTGAATAGCCCTGTCATAACAAGCAGTGGCATCCCTCAGCAAGCCGATGCTCTCATGCTCAAGGATCTGTTCTTTTAGAGATGGTTCTGCCTTTCGAATTGCGCTGACTCCAGCCACTCCATCTGGTTCATGCATAGCAGCATATAATTTCTTTGTTCAACCATTGAAAACAATCAAATTAGGAGAAAAATACAACTGAAAATAAAACTATAAAACCACCAGTTTATATGAAAAGGGCATATGAGAATTTTTTCTCTAAGCAGCAGTAAGTTTTGCTTTTCAAGGCAGACTCACAATAAAATTACAACTTTATTCTCAGCCTTCCTATTATTACAACAGCCATTCTACTTGAATATAACCTACATTAGTAATTGTTATTGACAATAAGAGCTGTAAAGAACCTCAAAGTCCTGAGCTCTCTTTAAACACAACGGAAAATAAATTCTGTTGAGTATAGTTTATAAGTGTTTTATTACATTTTAAAACAAAAAAAATTAAACAAGCATTTTAATATACTGGTATCTAGATGCCTTCAAGAAACCCAAAACATCAAATATGGGTTTGAACAAGATACTCAGGCTGAAGATAAAAATTTAGGCACAATAGCACAAAAACGGCAGGTGAAAGGATGGCATGATTTAGAGAGAGAAGAAAAGAGGCCCAGGGAAAGAGAGTAGTATATTTATAAATAAGAAAGAACTAGCAAATGAAACTGAGAGCAGACACCAAAGCAGTGTGAAAAAACCTGGAGAATGTGGTATCCCAGGAGATGTGGGAGAAAAGCAAATGTCTTATTCTAAAGGGAGTGGTCAAATGATGTTATGAGGTTAAGCAAATCAGAACTGGGAAATACTGATTGGATTTGGTAACATGACATCACTGATTTTCTTAGCAAGAGTAGTGTCAGTGAAATGGAGAAAGAAGTCTTATTGGAATGGGCAAAACATGAATGGGATAAAGTGATTATAAGGAAGACAGACAATTCTTTTAAAAGTTGACAGTGAAGGGAAATAGACAGGAAGCATCTGAAGGAGTATCTACAGTTAAGAGAATTATAAAAATTAAAATTGGAAATACCAGAGCATGTCTGTATACTGCATATACTCGGTTGACAAAGAGAAATTAATGGTACTAGAGAAAGCAGGAACATTTGAAGGGGTGAAATTCTCGAAATTGAGAGTACAAGTAGGGCTAAATTTTGGCAGGAAGGGAATTCTTCCTTAGGACTAACAAAGGAAAAGAAAAAGAACATGATGCGGAGGCAAGTATATTTTCATATTTGATAGACATTTGGTTTCTATTTTCCTAATGCACAATGAAGCAAAATCATCAGTTGAGAATAAGTGAGATGGAAGGTAAGAAACAAGCTGACGATAAAAAATTGTTATCTTGAAGAGCGAGAAAATTAGTTTACTAGAGAAACATTGAGAAGAGCTGCAGGCAGAGTTAAACAGTTTGGCTTATGGTTGCTATTATGTACTTAAAAGCAGTTAAAAAGCAATTCTGTGATTATGAGATTTTTCTTCAGCAATGTACAGCTGCTTACATGCAGACACTGGGAAGGCAGATGGGTGAGTTTATTCAGGGTTTGAGTTTTACAAAGCAAGCACAACACAAAGGAAAGGGAGAAAGGCTAGAAAATTCAATGTCCTTTAAAGGGAATGATTTTGACAATGAACAATAGACTCAAAGCTAGATAAGGAGGAAAACAATGAGAGCAGAGGGTTAGTATTTACCCTGAGTACAAGCTACTAATTTTCCAGTTCTCTCACCACACCTTGTTTTTGAACCTGAAGAAAGCTGACCAATTTTGACCTCTTATTTAAATCCCATTGCATTAGTCCCACCTGCCCTTAGTTTCTTTTCTTTCCCAAACAGTCATAATATTAGCACCTAATCCATTTTTTCACCAGTATTATCATGGTTGATTCCTGTTTAACCAGTATATTCCCCTACCCACACATCCCCAAATTTAGGCCTGCATTTCTCATGACAGTAGTAATGGCCTGCTTTGACTAAAAATAGCCCTTTCAACTCCTTCCTCCATGACTGCCATAGACACTGAGCTAAAATGCCATTTTGACTAAAGCACTTGCCTGTTTCAAATCCTCTAAGAATTTTGGGCAATGTAGAGGTCCTCTGTGATTTATCTTTCCTCTGCCAATCCATATACACATTCTTTCCCAAATCCATAGGGATGCCTCTGTTTAAAATGTCTTGTCTCGTCCTTTTACCTATCATTCATTCTTCAAGACCCCTTAGCACCTTCAAGAAGCCCTTATTGACTCCTTGCTCACCCACTCCTACCTCTCACGACGCTCCACAAAGACAATGAGTTAAATGTCCTTCCTCAGGGCATATCTATGTCACTCCACTTAAGATATTACATCAAACTGGTATCTATCCCTCCCCACTAATCTGCAAGGTTCTCAAGTATTAGGTTGGCCAAAAAGACTGATCAGCTTTTTCCATAAAATAAAAGACACATTTTTCATTTTCACTGTAACTATTGATTTGGATATTTTGAGTATCGTCTCTCTCCCACTGTTGCCTTCTAGTGGTTAGAGGCCAAGGGTGCTGCTAAACATCTTCCAATTCATTTGACAGCCCCACAGCAAACGATTTATTGGCCAAAATGTCAAATACCAAGAAACTTCGCAAACCACTTTTGACTCATTTCATCAGTCATAGCACCTTCTCCATACACTGCACAAATCTTTTTTTATGGTTTATATATTTACTTTACTATACTTTTTTATTGTTGTTCAAGTATAGTTTTCTGCCTTTTCCCCCAATCCCAGCCCACTCCCCCAGTACTCCCCACCTCCCTCCCGTTTCCACCCCCCCTTGTTATTGTCCATGTGTCCTTTATACTTGTTCCTGCAAACCCTTCACCCTTTCCCCCTAAAATTCCCTCCCCTCTCTCCCCTCTCTCCTGGTCACTGTCAGTCTGTTCTCTATTCCAGTGTCTTTGGTTATATTTTGCTTGTTTATTTTGTTGATTATGCACAAATCTTTTTTATGCGTTACACTTAGGTTTTTACCTTTCTTGAAATAATAAAGCATAATACACTGAAAATGTTGTATATCTTTTCCTATCTTCAGTATTAAAATGGCTATACAAGAATTCACCAATTTTTATGAGTTTTTTTTTCAAGGCACACTGGTACAAGACAGCTGTCACAATACAATCTAACAAAACTGTTTTGAATGAAATTAAACACAACTAAGCACTACTAGAGCCATCATAGAGAAAAAAACTAAATTAACTTTTTGGCCAACCCAATACTTACAAACACCTAGTTCCTAGCACAGTATCTCAAACACTCAATAGAATGAACAATATAAATATAATAGATTAGCAATAAACATTATTAAATTCACTACTATATGAATTTCAAACCTGTAAAAATCCAAGATGTGCTTGAATGTCCTGCTTATTTTCTGTAATAAATGATTCAAAGTGCATTACAGCTCGTGTGTATGCTTTAGAGCGAAAAGAAGCTACTGCCAGAGTGTCCTGAGGTATGAGGTCTAGAAAACGAGTTACGCTCTGATAGTCTTCATGATCCACAGTAGATACTAGATTTAAAAAAGATAAATAATTAAAGACTTAAGAAAATGAAATGTCATTTATATATTTTTTAAATTAATTTATTTATTTTAGAGAGAGGAAGGGAGGGAGAAGAAGAAGGAGAGAATGTGTGGTTACCTATCATGCACCCCCTACCAGGGACCTAGCCTGAAACCCAGGCATGTGCCCTAGACTGGGATTTGAACCGGTGACCCTTTGGTTCCCTAGTCTGCACTCAATCCACTGAGCCACGCCAGCTAGAAGAAAATGAAATTTTAAAAGTGTTCATTTTAATTTCAATTTATTTACTATAAACTTAATTTATTTCACTAATAATAGTATAAAAATGTATTAGGGATAATATTTAGAATGTAACTGTCAACAAGATGACTGCTCAGAGGATTCTTGCTTCAACTTCACCATTATTACTTACCCTACCTTGGACACTCAATTACCTTAACTTAAGCTTCAGTTTTATCATAAATAAAAGGTAAGTACTATACTGCCTTCCTTACAAAACTGTCGTGAGAATTAAGTATAAAACTATATTAAATATTGAAAAGAGGAGAGCTCAAGATGGCGCCAAGGTAGGTGGGAACAGAGCCCAGTTCTCCCTGTGCCCAGCTGGAACACCTAGCTGATCTTCTGAGGAACAGAGTGAACAGCCAATGGAATCCCAGCTTATATGAAGTTTGGAGGCCATAAATTGTAGAGGACATTGAAAAGCAGACGGTGAGGAGACTGCACTGGGACAGTAAGGTCCCTGGGATCTGCGCAGGGACCAAGGCTGCTGCGGCCCCTGGCCCAGCGCCTTCCACAGGATACTGGGTAGAGAGTTAGACCACCAGCTTCCTTCCCTACCAGAGCAGGGAGAGTAGCCTGGCACCAAGAGGGACCTGGATGCTGGAAGTCACTGGGGGAAACAGAGACGAAGTGGGAGACACACACATGTGGTATACATCTGCTGGTACTGTGGCTGCCAGCACCAGAGAAATTGGGATGCTGGGCAACACCTGCAGAGGGGAGGAGTTGGGCTGTGTCTGACCCTGACTCAGACAGTCTCCAGACTGGAAAGTTGGGCTGTGTGAAAAGCTGTGCACTTATTAAGAAAGGCAGGCAGCTGCTTTATAAGGAACTCTCAAGCAGTGGCTGGCTCACCCAACGGGTGATCTGACCTGCTTGCGCCCAAAGGCTGAGTAGCTGAGTAGAACAGCACACTCGAACTTGACCCACGCCATGCCACACATCCAGAGACTGAGTGGCTGGTTTGAGCCTGGAAGATCATGGAGGATCTGGGCTGGAGGCCGGGCAACTGTGAATACTGCACACCATCCTCTCACAACCATAGGAAGGAAAAAAGCAGAGCCCAGCCCCACTCTTCCTTTGGCATCCAGAAAGAAGAACAGAACTCCAGAACTCACTGAACAGGTTTAAAGTCAGCAGGAAGCTTATTTTTTCCTTTCCTCTCTTTTTTTTCCTTTTTTTTCTTCCCTCAAGTGAGACAATAAAATGTGGAGTGATGCAGGGTCCAGAGACAGATCCAAAGGGGAAGCACAAGGCTAAGGCCAAAAATAGAGAAACTGAGACAAATGTCACTTTGCTATCCCATAGAGCTGGCATTTTATTATGTGTATTATTATTATTTTTCATTGTCTTTACCACTTTTATCAGTATTTTTTTATTTCTCTTCCTTATGTATTGTTTTCCTCATTTTATTTCTCTGTTTAATGTCATTCTTTCACTGGTTTTCCTTATTCTCTCTTTATTGTACTTTAATTTTCCTTCTTTTACTTAACTTGTGTACCAATAACACACTACTCTTGATCGTGCACTTTCTATTCTGATTATCCAAATCATATATTTCTTGTCATAATATTGTTGTTCCACTAGTATGGTAAATAACTGTTGTTCCATACAAGTGTACATACTACACAGTAACCCTCCCTGATCTTATCTCACTTCACTTGATTCCTGTGCATTATTATTCTTGTGGTTAACTCTATTCTCTCTCATATTACGCCTACTTTCTATCCTTTACTCTCACTATATCTCATCATCTAACCTTGCACAAGTGCTCTGTTTTTCTTATTCATTTCGGGCTGAATAAAGCAGAGGATTGAATCAGCAAGCTGGAGGACAACGTGGAAAAAACACCCAAAAAGAGCAGGAGAAGGAAAAAGAGACTCAGAAAGAACAAAGAGGTGCTAAATGCAAGACAACATGCAAGACAACAACACCCACGGATAGGTTCTCCCATGGAGAATCAGGCCTGTAATGTGCCTAGGCTGCTTCGAGTCTTATTCTTGCTAAAAACTCCCTCAACCTGAATTGAGGACATTTGCTGCAAAGCAACTTCCTAAAATCCATGCTAAACCTTCCAAGGATGAGTGTAACTGGTTCAACCACTTTTGCCTTTTCATTTGCAACTATCCCTTTTCTGTGATGTGATTAGCAGCATTGGCTCCTTTGTTTTCTATAAAAGGTAACCACCTAAAGCGAACTTGTGCATAGTAAATGAGGACCATTATGTAAAGTGCCAACAGATAGAAATAAAGGCTTGTCGTGGCAGAGACCATGGCCTTTGCTCCCCTTGAGAGAAAAGCCATGCTGTCCCTTTTTCTCCCCCAGACTTGGTAGTCTGTGGAATGTCTCATTTCATCCATAATGACATGGATACTGCGGGCCAGTGTCTGCATCAAGCTAGAAACATCACTATACCTGCTGGAGAAGAAAAACCACCAACTAATGAACCACCAAAAGGTAAAAATGCAAGTACAATAACAGAGCCCACACAAACAGAAGAGCAAACCTAGAGCATCTAGACAAGGAGATCAAGGAGAGCACACTACTGAACCCTACAGAATTCCCACCATAAAAGTTCACCCAACAAAGATAGCTAGCAAACCGAAATATCAGAAAGCAAAGAAACAAACAAAAAGACTCACCTAAAATGGGGAGATGAAAAAAGAATATGCAATCAAAAGGAAGGGAAGACTCCCCACTAAAAAAGGTGAAAAGGAGGTAAACAAACTATCAGATACAGAGTTCAAAATAATGGTTATAAAGATGGTCAAGGAACTCACAATTACAAAGAAATAAGTGAGAACTACAACTGTATGAAAAAGGAAATAGAAACTACAAACAAAAGCCAGGAAGAAATGAACAATAAAATAGCAGAAATAAAAAAGACATAAGGCAAGCGGGCTGAATGAAGCAGAGAATTGAATCAGCAAGCTGGAGGACAACATGGAAAAAACACCCAGAAAGAGCAAGAAAAGGAAAAAGAGACTCAGAAAGAACAAGGAGGTGCTAAGGAAATTGCAAGACAACATGAAACATAATAATATCTATAAAATAGGGATAACAGAAGGAGAAGGAGAAGAACAAGGGAGAAAAAAATTGTTTGAAAAAGTAATGATGGAAAATTTCCCTATTTGATGAGAGAAAAAGTCACACAAATCCAGGAAACACAGAAGTTTCCTGTGGAAATCAAGAGGAACCCAAAGAGGCCGACTTCAAGATACATCATAATTAAAATGGCAAAATTCCAAGACAGAGAATCTTGAAGGCAGCAAGAAAGAAACACAAAGGAACATACAAGGGAGCCCCGATAAGGTTAGCAGCTGACTTCTCAATGGAAATGCTCCAAGCCAGAAGAGAATGGCAAGAAATGTTCTAAGTAATGAAAACCAAAGGCCTGCAACCAACATTATTCTATCCAACAAGGCTCTCGGTTAAAATGGGAGGCCAAAGAAGGAGTCTCTGAGACAAAAGAAACCTAAAAGAATACACCTCCAGCAAACCACCTCTGCAAGAGATGCTAAAAGGACTGCTTTAAGGAAAGGAAGAGAGAGAGAGAGGAACACAGGTACAAAAATGGCAATGAATAAGTACCTATAAATAGTAACTTTAAATTTAAATGGATTAAATGCTCCAATCAAAAGATATAGAATAGCTGAATGAATAAGAAAGCATGACCCACACATATGCTGCATACAAGAAACCCACCCCAGAACAAAAGACCTACACAGAATGAAAGTGAAGGTCCGGAAACAAATATTCCAAGCAAATGGACAGGGGAAAAAAGCCAGGGTAGCAATACTCATATTAGACAAAATAGACTTCAAAAAAGGGCCATAAAAAGAGCCCCAGAAGGTCACTTCATAACAGTCAAGGGAAGAATCCATCAAGAAGACAGAAACACCGGGCTGGCGTAGCTCAGTATATTGAGCACGGGCTGCGAACCAAAGTGTCACAGGTTCGATTCCCAGTCAGGGCACATGCCTGGGTTGTGGGCCACAGGCCCCAGCAACCCCACATTGATGTCTCTCTCTCTCTTTCTCCCTCCCTTTCCTCTCTAAAAATAAATAAATAAAATCTTAAAAAAAAAAAAGGAGACAGAAACATTGTAAATGTATACGCACGAAACTTAGGACCAACCAAATATATAAGGAAAATCTTGGAGGACTTCAACAAAGATATTGACAGCAACACAATTATAATAGGGTATTTCACCATCCCACTGTCAAAAACGAATTGATCTTCTAAACAAAATATCAACAAAGATATTATGGGATTGAACAATGCCCTAGATCAAATGGACTTAACTGATATATATAGAGCCTTTCATCCCAAAGAAGCTAAATACACATTCTTTTCAAATGTACATGGAACATTTTCAAAGACAGGCCACATGATAGGACACAAAACAAGCATCAACAAATTCAAGAAAATTGAAATCATTATCAAACATTTTCTCTGACCACAAGGGACTGAAACTACAAACCAACCTCACACAAAAACTCAAAAACACTCAAATTCATTGAGATTGAATGGCATGGTATTAAACAATGAATTGGTCAAGAAGGAGATCAAGGAAGAAATCAGAAAGTTTCTGGAAACAAATGAAAATGAACTCACAACAACCCCAAGCTTACGGGACACAGTGGAGGCAGTCCTGAGAGGGAAGTTCATAAAGATACAGGCCTACCTAAAAAAGATAGAAACA